AGGAGCAGAGGAGAAAGAGCGAGGAGCAGGCGCTCCCTGCCACTGCCGGTGAGGATCTTCGTTCCTATTCTTCTTGCGAGTTTTCAAATTCTTGTTCTTTTGGAGGGATGGTTGTTGTTCGATCTGCATTCATATTGAATCGCTTCCTGGTTTTGGGTGCAATCGGTGCAATCGTCAGGAGCTGATGGGCTTTCTCATTCTGCAGCTGGTGCATGGGAGGACGCTGGAGCAGCAGAGGAGCAGAGGAATGAGAGGGGCACAGGAGAAAAGGAGCAATGAGTGAAGGAGCACAGGAGGAGAGGAGGACAGGGGAGCATAGGGGTGCAGAGGAGCAAAGGGGTCATGGAGCACAGTGGTCATGGAGCACAGTGGTCATGGAGCACAGTGGTGGCGATGCAAAAGTGCAAAGAGCAAGGAGGGGAGTAGCAGCCGAGGATGGGAGGCGTGGAGCAAGGAGGGGAGGGGTAAGGAGGGGTGGAGCAAGGAGGGGAGGGGTAAGGAGGGGTGGAGCAAGGAGGGGAGTAGCTCAGAGGCGTGGAGTGAAGGAGGGAAGCAGAATCCTCTGTGAAGAGCTAAGGAGCGAAGGAGCAGAGGAGGCGAAGGAGTGAAGGGGAATCCTCTGCCACTGCAGAGGAGGCGAAGGAGTGAAGGGGAATCCTCTGCCACTGCAGAGGAGGCGAAGGAGTGAAGGGGAATCCTCTGCCACTGCAGAGGAGGCGAAGGAGTGAAGGAGGAGAGGAGTGGAGCAAGGAGTGAAGGAACGCAGGCGGAGAGGAGGAGTGGAGCAGGGGTGCGGAAGAGCGGAGGAGGCGAGGAGCTCAAGAGGAGGAGGAGCAAGGAGCAGAGGAGAAGGAGCGAGGAGTGGCAAGGAGAGGAGGAGAGGAGGAGAGGAGGAGAGGAGGAGAGGAGGAGAGGAGCAGAGGAGGAGAGGAGGAGAGGAGCAGAGTAGCAGAGGAGGAGAGGAGGAGAGGAGGAGAGGAGGAGAGGAGGAGAGGAGCAGAGGAGGAGAGGAGGAGAGGAGCAGCAGTGTGGAGGAGCAAAGGGGTCATGGAGCACAGTGGTGGACGGACTCTCTGCTGCCGATGGTGATCAAGTTGTTTTCCTGCTTTCAGTCTTCCTGTTTGTTCAGATGCGTGGTGGTTGCCTTGTTCTCTTTTGCGTTTCCCTGAGCCTCGGCACTGGGTTCAGTTGGTTCAATGGTCTCATGCGCCCTGAGGCTTCTCCTCCCATCCCGCAGGAGATGGACGAGTTGGTTCAGCTGAGGAGGAGATGAAGGAGAAGGTGGAGAAGCTGAACGAGATGAGGAGCAGAGGGGCGACGGCTCGGCTGAGGAGAGGTGGAGCAGCAGTGGAGGTGGAGCAAGGGAGCGAAGGAGCACGATGGACGATGTATCTTGACTGCCAGTGGTGATCCTCTTCCTTACTTTAGCTGTTGTTTTTGTTCGTTGCCTGAATCATTTCGCAACTGCTTTTAGTTGTTTCTATGCATTGGGTGCAATCGGTGCCATGCCCCTCCCATCGCAGACAGTCAGTCGAGGCAGAGAAGCGGTGGAGAAGGAACAGCAGAGGAGACGAAGCAGAGGGAGGAGACGAATGAGGTAGGAGCGGAGTGCTGCTTCCTCGGTCTTGGAAACGGCAGCTGCTACCTCGCTGAGCGCAGCAGAGTGAAGGGGGGAGCAGAATGAGGGAGGAGCAGGGTGTTGCGCGCTGCAGCAGGGGAGCAGAGGAGACGGCCTGTCAGCGCTCCTACCTCTCTCCCCGCTCATGGAAAGGGCAGCTGCTACCTCGCTGAGGGCTGCTACCTCAGAGTGAAGGACACGGCAGTTGCTACCTCGCTCGCTCCTACCTCCCTCCAGTGTGCTGCTTCTGGTGCTGTGGAGTGATACGGGGACAGTGAAGGGGAGTGGAGGAGCAAAGGAAATGTGCAGCAACAAAAGGAGCTGCAGTAGAGAAAGCCAGCAGTGACACCAGCGGCTGTGGTAGCAGAAGAGGGAGCCAGCAGTGACACCAGCGGCTGTGGTAGCAGAAGAGGGAGCCAGCAGTGACACCAGCGGCTGTGGTTGCAGAAGAGGGAGCCAGCAGTGACACAAGCGGCTGTGGTAGCAGAAGAGGGAGCCAGCAGTGACACCAGCGGCTGTGGTAGCAGAAGAGTGAGCCAGCAGTGACACCAGCGGCTGTGGCAGCAGAAGAGGGAGCCAGCAGTGACACCAGCGGCTGTGGTAGCAGAAGAGGGAGCCAGCAGTGACACCAGCGGCTGTGGTAGCAGAAGAGGGAGCCAGCAGTGACACCAGCGGCTGTGGCAGCAGAAGAGGGAGCCAGCAGCGACACCAGCGGCTGTGGTAGCAGAAGAGGGAGCCAGCAGTGACACAAGCGATGGCAGCAGCAGGGGGAGCAGAAGAGTGTCGCGCAGTGGCACCAGTGGTGATGGGACCGCAGCTCTACCTTGGTCACTCCTACTGCTGTCACTCCTACCGCAGTCGCTCCTACTGCATTCGCTCCTACCTCAGTCGCTCCTACCTCAGTCGCTGCCGTTGGTGCTGTGAAGTGAAGAGGAGCGGGAGATGGCTCATACAGGGGGGATGGCTCATACAGGGGGGATGGCTCATACAGGGGGGGAAGATTGCTGAGAGGGGGGGGCGAGCAAAGCTGAGTTTGGGAAAGCAGAGTGGGGGGGGAAGCAGAGTGAAGGGGGGAGCAGAGTGAAGGGGGGAGCAGAGTGAGAGGCAAGCGGAGTGTTGAGAACTGCAGCAGGCTGCAGTGTGAGGGTGAGGGGAGGAGCGAGTGAGAGTTAGAGTGAGAGTGGGAGTCGGGTGTTAGGACCTCGTTTGCTGGTTTGAGGCGCCTCAAATCCAGTTGTGAGCTGCCGGTGGCAGTTCTGTTGTGTCCTGCAGTGTTCTGTTGTGCACGTGGAACACACACTCTCTCTTTCTCTTCTCCTCACTGCAGATTCGCTGCAGTGAGCAAAAACAGGGTTTTGAGAGACGTCTCATCTTAAAACCCTTTTTCTTGTTCCTCACTGCAAGACTTGCAGTGAGCAAAATTGCAGTTTGTCCTGAAGCAAGACTGGGCAGAAGACCAGAGCAGCAGGGAGGGTCAGCAAGGATGGGCGGCTGAGGATTCGAGAATAATTTTCACCTGCCCTCGTGCAGTATCCTTTTGTCTGTGTTCTCTCTCCCCCTCCAACAGGGTCCCAAGCGATGGTTCCCACCTCACCGTGGTGCTTGGGTGTAACGTTCGGAGCCCTGCTCCTGGCGGCCAAGAGGAACCCCCCATGCAAACAGTACATGGGAATTATAGCAGTAGACCTATGGATTTAACATTATTAGTTCCACTAAATAAGAATTTGATTAGTTTTGAAACTTTTAGCTGGGAACTTGATACTTAGTTCCCTAAACTTGATACTTTTATTGTTCTGATTACATATTCTGAAACTCTCAACTTCACGGTTTACGGATTTTGAATTCATCACACGATCATATTGCGTCGCTTCGCGATTCAGTCTCGAGGGCTGGAACATGGCAAGTTGAATATTTGGCGGGAACCAAGGTCAGGCAGCCGCAGCTGTTGTTGGGCTCATTCCCCCAAGGCTCGTGGGGTGCTTTGTGACGAGACGACCAATCACCTCGATGAACCCGAGAGTGTCAGGTCAGGGACCAAAGCAGGATGTGCAGCTGTGCAGCGCACCGTCCATCCAAACACAGGCATCAGCATGGCAGGTGAAGCCATGGCCTTGAGGTTGTCGCAACCAAAGCCTGTGTGCTTGACAGGAAACATATTTCAGAGGCATCATATCTCAGCGTGTGACTTATCAGACGTTTTATCAGTGAACCAAGATCACGTGAAGTCCGATATTTTTTGTCTTAGTGGTGCCATCGCATGGTGTAGGTGCACGGATGGATTTAGCAAAGGAGAATAAGTCGCTCAAGGCCGAGCTAGAGAAAGTTCGAGCTGCTCTTGCGAAATCAGAGAGCACGTGCTTGGCTCTGCAGAAGGACCTCGCTGGTATCGACGACAGCTATCAGAAACGGTTAGGGAAGCAAGCAGAGCGGCTCGCGCTGTGTCAGAATGAACTGGAGAAGTATCAGATGAAGGTTGAGAAGCTTCAGCGAGAGAAGAAAGATTTAGAAGAATCCATATCCGTAAGCAGTCAGCAGGACACCTCGGCTTCGGTAGTGAGGCCGTCCGAGGATCAAAACGCCTCAGATGCAGATTCATCGCAAACGAAGGGCCAGGAGAATCAACAGCAGGACGAGCATGATTCCTCCAATGAATCTTCAGACAGCCATACCGCTCTTGGAAATATTGGCAAGTGCAGCACAGATGGCTCGTCCGTCGAGAAAGAAGTCACCGCCGTTTCAACTCCTGAAACTGATCAATTCTTACTCAGAACTGCTGAACTGAACTCTGGCCTCATGGATAACATTCCTGACTCAAATCTCAAATCAGAGCTGAGCGGACCGAGACATCTTCAGCTGGAAACCGCTTTGGAGGCCACGAGGAAGGAGAACTCGGAGCTGAGGGCTCAGCTGGAGGAGAAGGACATGGAGCTGGCGCGAGTGAGGGAGACGGCCACGTGGCAGGATATGGAGATGAACAAGCTAAGAGGCATGGTTAAAGAGCTGTCTCTTCCAGATTCTGCACAGAAGGTAATTTGTCGAACTCATTGCCTTGAGACTTTGCTTCACGAGTTTTTATCACTCACAAGCTTCATTTTTTCGTGTGCAGATGTCTGAAACAGATCCCAAAGCGTTGGTGGTCGCGAATGAGAAGATTAAAGAGCTTGAGAACCGTGTGACGGAGCTGGCTTCAGCTAAAAAGAAGCCCAAGTTCCTCAAGTTTCTGTGCATATCCGCTTGATGCTCTTTGACTCATGGTAATGCTGGCATACAGAACAATTGCAGTCTGTTTATATTCTTTATTCAATTTTGCTTGTAGGTAATTGATTGAGCTTTGTACTACTACAGATCAGCAAAATGGGCCCTTTCAACTGCAACACATGCTTCATTGAACAGCAAGGCGCTGCAAGTGTTGTGAAAAGGTCTCTAGGCTAACGTCATCTGTGAAAATGTACTGCTGCGAATGCTTTGCCGCCTCTACAAACGATGGAGATGAAGGGATGGACGAGCTTGCATGCGTTGCGGATGGGTTGAGCCTGGAAGTCAGAAATCTAGACTGACTGCTTCCTTGTTCACACTCCATGATTCTGGGCTCAGGCATTCTCTCGCTGGCCAAAGCCAACGCATCTTCCATCGGCAGCTCCAGAAGTTTTCTGCTAGGTTGTGGGAAGGAACAAACACATCAGAGCTGCCATGACACACGTCCCCCGTATGCAAGGATACAGACAAGCCAGTCGCTGCATCAAAACTGAGAGTATCAGCATGACCATATAGCAAAAGTCCAGTCAGAGGTGGAAGATCGACTCAATAGATACCTGAAGGCCGCGTGTGCAGGGTCTGGATGAAAACCCTGGTGCTTCTAGTGCACGACGGTGGAGCCGTTCAGCACCACAACGTGGAAGAACCCGTCATACAGCAGCACACAGTCGGTCGCTGCTGTGCGGGGCTGCTGTGTGCTGCTGCTGTGGACAGCGTGACTCAGTCATAGGTGGAAGGGTGGACAAGTACCTGAAGGCTGCATGTGCGGGGTCTAGGTGGAAGCCTTGGTGCTTCCAGTGCACAATGGTGGAGCCGTGCAGCACGACAATGTGGAACCAAGCCATTGTACAGCAGCACACAGTCGGGGCTGCTGTTGTCAGCGTGACTCAGTCAGCTTCAAGGGTGGAAAAGTACCTGAAGGCGGCGTGTGCAGGGTCGAGGTGGAAGCCTTGGTGCTTCCAGTGCACAATGGTGGAGCCGTGCAGCACGACAATGTGGAAGAAGCCATCGTACAGCAGCACACAGTCGGGCTGCAGCGACGACACGTCCAGCAGCACAGCATGTGGCGGCGCTTCGAAGGTGTAGGCGATCAGGGCGGGCTGCATGGGATGGAAGGCATCGGCAAGGAGATGACAAGGAGTTACAAGTGGAAGAAGCCATCGTACAGCAGCACACAGTCGGGCTGCAGCGACGACACGTCCAGCAGCACAGCGTGTGGCGGCGCTTCGAAGGTGTAGGCGATCAGGGCGGGCTGTATGGGATGGGAGGCAGCGGCAAGGAGATGACAAGGAGTTACAAGTGGAAGAAGCCATCGTACAGCAGCATACAGTCGGGCTGCAGCGACGACACGTCCAGCAGCACAGCGTGTGGCTGCGCTTCGAAGGTGTAGGCGATCAGGGCGGGCTGCAGGAGGACGGGGAGAAGATGAAGACAAGATAATCACAGGAGGAAAACCAGCACTGATCAACAAGGAGCGAACGGGAGGCTACGAGCAGGAAACTGAACAATGAGGAGGAAGTTCAGAAGAGCTTTGTGCTTTTAGGTTGATTGGTAAAAGATATGGTGCGGTACCTGAACCATGAGAAGGGAGTTGGCAACAGCTTCTCTAGTAAGCATGAGGCGGAAGAAAGCCGTCTCGTCAGGGCTGTGGTTGAACACCTGTTGCCACGCACACATGCACACATGCACACAGGAACACACAGCCAACAACACAGCAGCCATCTTATGCAGATCAGGAGGAGGTGAGAGTCAGGCGACAGCAACGTGCCAACCAGGCAGACACAGCTACAGCCACACCACTTCACTCCACATCCCAACGCCCTACAACCTAACGGTACCTGCGCTCATGCTCACACCTGGTCATGCTGGATGAAAGTATTCCTGGAGGAAGGCATACCTGAGGGAAAGGACTCCTGGGAGAAGGCACACCTGGGGGAGGGCACACCTAGCGGAGGGCACACCTGGGGGAGGGCACACCTCGTGGAGGGCACACCTGGGGGAGGGCACACCTGGGGGAGGGCACACTTGGGGGAGGGCACACCTAGCGGAGGGCACACCTGGGGGAAGGCTCATCTGAGGGAAGGCACACCAGACCTGGAGGAAGCTGGAGCGGCGGAGGTGGAACATGAACTGGGGGAAGAGGGAGAAGGCGGAGGCGAGGTGGAAGGAGGAGGGGTCCCCCCGGCTGTACTGCCCGAACTTGGCTCCAAAGCGGATGAGCATGCGGTCCAGCCAGCGCAGCACGTCACTCATGTCCTCTGACTCTGCCTGGTGGGGGGTGGGGTGGGGGGAACGTGGGAGACCACAGCAGCATGGCCTGGGATTCACAGCACATGGATGCATCATGAGTTGGCAGAACTCCAAAGCGGATGAGCATGCGGTCCAGCCAGCGCAGCACGTCACTCATGTCCTCTGACTCTGCCTGGTGGGGGGTGGCAGGGAAGAGCGGGAGAAGCCGCAGCATGGGAGGACATTACAGCAGCACAAGCACCATGACAGCACAGACTCCAAAGCGGATGAGCATGCGGTCCAGCCATTGCAGTACATCACTCATGTCCTTTGACTTCGCCTGGCGTGCACGAAAGGGGTAGGGGGCACACAGCAGCACGACAAGAAAGGCACAGCACAAAGACGCATCACGACAGGGAAATTTCAGAGTACATCGTTCCATTTCTGCAAATGAAGGGAGTAATGTAGCGCCCACCTAAGAAGCAGGAGAAATGTCCACCTTGAAAGCAGAGAAACACGCACCTTGAAGGCAGCTAGCTTGGCCACGAGAGCAGCAGCAGCCTCTTGGTCGAACCCCATCACCACTTCCGCCAGTGCTGCAGCTGCCCTTCCCCCCGGCACGCCCCCCACCACCAGCTCCCCATCCCCTTCCGCCACACCCACCCCAACAGCCTGTGAATCCGCGCCAGTGCCCCCCTCCCCCCCCATGTGCACCCATCGCCTGGCTGCTGTGGCCACACGCACCCTCCTGGTACCATCGCCATGGCGATACGTGGTGAGGAACTGAGAGGGAAAGGAGGGAAGTTAGGAGCGCAAGGGGGAATTGGAGGGCGGATGGTGGGAAGACAGCCGAACACCTCACATGCCTGCGACAGCACAAACATGACAGCACACAGCGGATTGCAAGACAAGCCACCTCCCCCACAAAAGAAAACCCTCCCTGGCCAATACACCTGGAATAACGCGAACGCGGGACCTGGTGTGCTCTTGGGGGCGCGATCTCAAAGAAGAACGCCAGGAGGAGGAGCGGGGGGAGAGGGAGCAGAGGCGCCAGAGAAGACAGTCATACCAGCCTTCCCCGGGCAACACACCTGGAACAGCGCAAACGAGCCCAGTGGAATCTGGTGGGCTCTCGGGGGCGCAATCTCAAAGAAGAAGGCGAGGGAGGAGGAGCGGGGGGAGAGGGAGCAGAGGCGCCAGGCAGCGGTGCCGCCCTGCCCCACCTCGTGCTCGCTCACGCTCTCCGCCTTGCGCCACAGGTTGCCACACGCCCCCACCGCCCCCATCACCTTTATCTCCTTGGGAAGCTTCACCTCCACTACCCCGTCTGTGGCGGCTAGCAGAGGGCCCTGTAACGGGGACCGGGGCAGGGGGGGGAAGAGTGTACGAATCGGGTCGACTCAAACATCACACGCCCCTACGGCCTCCTTCACCTTTATCTCCTTCGGGAGCTTCACCTCCACTACCCCGTCTGTGGCAGTTAACAGAGGGCCCTGTAACGGGGGTGGGGGACGGTATGTCATGGTATGGCATGATATATCATGTGATGGTGTGGCATGGCATGATATAGCAAGAAATAGCATCGCATGGCTTGACATAACATGGGATGGCATGGCATGTCTGCGTGAGCCCCCGGACTGCAGCGTCAGCTTTCAACTATGGCTGCAGCGCAGCGTCTGCTAGTGGCGGTGCTGGTCCCCATGATCCAGGACTCACTGACCTCATGGGACCGTTGGAACAGCTTGCACAGCGATTTGACAAAGATGTCTGACTCAAACGAGTCGGCCAATACGAGCGTGCCACTTGTCGCCTCGATGGCGCCCCTCATTTCCGCCACTCCCACTTGGTCCGCCGCGCATGCAAACACGTCTATGGCCGCTGATACCTCTGCTGCTCGCTCGCCCAACTGCGTATAGAATCTCGTGGCACGGCTGCAGGGAGGGAGGAGGAGGAGAAAGGGAGGGAACAACACGTGCAGCAACGGTTAGAACATTGCATACCCAAACATGCAAACACGTCTCTGGCCACTGACACCTCCGCTGCTCGCTCACCCAACTGGGTGTGGAAACGCGTGGCACGGCTGGTCCGGAGGGAGGGAAAGACACATTCAGCAGCAATTGGTCCGCCGCACATGCAAACACGCCTATGGCTGCTGATACCTCTGCTGCTCGTTCACTGAGTTGAGGAGTATACAAGCGTGTGGCACAGCTGGTGGGAGGAGGAGGGGAGCGGGAACGGCACATGACGCAGTGGGACCGTGCAGAGCGTGCTTATCCAGAACGAAGCAAAAAAACGAGGATGCACAGCCCCTTCGCGCACCCCTCCGAAGGGGCTGTGCACCGTGCTTATCCAGCAAGGAGCAGAAACACTAGGGTGGGTTGGCAACGCGGTACTGACTGGTAGAAAGCGGAGTTGTCGAGGAGAATATCCGAGTGTGTGCGGAGGCAGTCAGTCGGCCATCTGTATAACCACCACCATGCCCGGGCCCACTGTGCCTGGCCCTCCCTTACCCCGTCCCAAGCCCCACCCTGCCCAGCGTCAAAGAACGCGCCCATCCAGCACAGCACAGCACAAAAGAGAAGCACGAGGGTGAGTGGCACTGACTGGTAGTAGGCAGTGTTGTCCAGGAGAATGTCCGAGTGTGTGCGGAGGCAGTCGGCCATGTCTGTACCCACCACCATGCCTGGCCCCACTGTGCCCGGCCCTCCCAGCAGCACCACCACCTGCCCTCCCGACTGCAGCGCCCTCTCCCCTCCCCCTCCTGCCCTCTCCCCTCCCTTCCTTGTCCCCTCCCCTCCCTTCCCTGTCCCATCGCCTTCCCTCCTCGCCCTCCCTCCTCCTGCCTCTGCTGCCCCTCCTCCCCACGCCTCTGCTGCTCCCCTCTTCTCCCATGCTGCCCGCCCTGACCCGTGTTCCGCGCTCCCCCCCTCCTCTGCCGACCCCTGCTCTCCCCGAGCCTCCATCACAGCCACGGCGGCTCCTAAAGCTGCGCCTACGGCTCGGTGGGGTCTGCAAGGAGACGCAGGAGAAAGTCAGAAGATAGACATAACTTACCCTCTTTGACATGGGCAGCTGGTGGTGCAACCCATCTGCAGTGTAATCCAGGGATCAACAGCTGAATCTGGTTGTACTGGCACTACCACTTCCACCACAAGCAGCGATACCATAGCACCCATCTATATCACGCCTAAACCTATATGAGAACCATTAACTGCGAGCCTCACCTGACCCCTGGCACCACTGGCTGTGAATTCGGCTGTAGAGCGGCTATCGTGCCCCTCAGCACGCCAACCCCCTCCACCAGAGGCACCAAATACCGCCCATCTGAACCGCTCTAGAAAGGCATTGTATCTCACCTGACCCCTGGCACCACTGGCTGTGAGTCCGGCTGTAGTGCTGCTATGACGCCCCTCAGCACGCCCTCTCCCTCCACCAGAGACACCAGGTACCGCCCATCTGCCGCCCCTCTGCCGCCCAGTACCAGTGACGGCGGGGGCGGCGACGAGGACACAGGCTCTGCTGACGTGGACAACGATGGTGGTGACACGTGGGAGGATGAGGACTGGGAGGAGGAAGAGGATCGCGGCGAGAGAGGGCCCTTGGGAGAGGACAGCTTGCCAGTGGGAGGAGCCCCTTTGATGTGGTTGCTGCTGCTGCTGGGTGTGGTGTTGGATGGTGTAGACAGCGAGTGAGGCAGAGGCAACCCCAACCCCAGGAGGTGCTTTATCTTGCTGGGAGGCAGGTCCTTGTCCCCCGGTAGCAGCACCACACGAGACGACAGCGGGCCGGCTTGAGAGTGAGGGAGCGAGTGAGGAAGGGAGTGAGGGAGGGAGTGAGAGAGTTCGTGCACGGCCACCTGTGCGCCCACTGTGATGAGGCCCACTGGGCAGGTGACTGGTAGCAGTGGCAGCAGCTGTAGAAGGGCTGCCTTGGCGTGGTGTAGCTCATCAGGGGATACACACGTGTCCAGCACAAAGAGGAACGCGGGCTGGCTGTGGGAGGGGGAAGGGTGAGAGGGAAGAAGGAAGGGAGTGGCTTTTGAGTGGGAGCAAAGCAGAAAGGAGAAACGAGGAGACGCGAGAAGAGAAGCAAAGAGGAGAATGGAAACGACGAGAAGAGCAAGAGTAGGGGAGGGGAGAGCAGAGACGCACGGCATGGCGGCGTGGGGCAGGAGGGGGGGAGGACAGAGACGCACAGTGTGTTGGCGTGGGGCAGGAGGGGGGGAGGACAGGGACGCACGGAGTGGCGGCGTGCGGCAGGAGGAACTCGATGGTACTGAGGCTGGGCGAGAGCTCCATGGGCAGGTTGGTCTCGCTCACATCCCTGTAGTTGGGCGGGAAGAGGTTCCTCTGTTGGGCGGGTGGGGGAGGGGTGGGGAGGTGCGGGGATCAATGGGAGCTCCATGGGCAGGTTTGTCTCGCTCACGTCGCGGTAGTTGGGCGGGAAGAGGCTCTTCTGTGGGGCGGGTGGGGGAAGGGAGGAGGACGGAGGGGAGGAGAGGAACGGGGAAAGAGGGGGGAGAGGAGAGCTCAATGGGCAGGTTGGTCTCGCTGACATCCCTGTAGTTGGGCGGGAAGAGGTTCCTCTGTGGTGTGGGGGAAATGCGATGGCAGGGGAAGGGAGGGGAAGGGAGAAGAGGGGAGGAAAGGGGACGGGAGGGAAGGGGAGGGGAAGGGAATCGAGGAGAAGCAGAGAGGCGCGCAGCAGCAATCCTTACGATCCCTTTTCCAAACCTCATCTACCCAACCTCACCAATTCCCCCTCTACTTCCGCCCATTTCTCTTTCTCCACCCACTCCCCCCTCCACTACATACCTGCTGACACAGCGCGCACGCACTGTCCTTCCGCCCATCCCCCCCCGCTTTCCCCCTACATACCTGCTGGCAACGCGCGCACGCCCACGAGTGGGTGCCGAAGTGCAGTGCGCAGTACGGGTTGAGCGCGGCTCGCTGCCCCCCTTCCCCGCCCATTCCCCCAACGGATAGCACCTGCTGACACAGCGTGCACAAGCTACACATTGCGTCCGTCCCGCTCCCCTTCCCTTCTCTCCCCCTTCCGCCACCCGTCACCCCCCTTTATACCTGCTGGCACAGCGCGCACGCCCACGAGCGGGTGCCGCAGTGCAGCGCGCAGTAAGGGTTGAGCGCGGCGCCGCACGCCTTGCAGAGCAGCGGCGGATGCGGAACGACCTGCAGATCCGCGATTTCCGCGAGCGGCGTGAAGACCGCGCCGAAGGGCACGACGCAGCGCGCCGCCTCGAGGCGCGACGAGGGCCACACGTTCCACGAGAAACGCAGCCCCTCCGCCGCCTCCAGCTCCTGGAAATCCATCGCGGCCCGCAATTCACGGCGCGTGATTCACGGAGAAAAACGGGCCGCGCCTAAGTCCTCGTCAGGCACGTCTGGTGAGTACCGTACGCGTTTTAAGTGGGTTAGTGGGCCTCGTAACGATTCAGTCTCGAACGATTCAATTCGCGCTGCTACAAGCCTACGGACCGAGTGAGCAAACAAATTCACAAAAGATAGATAGATTGATAATGCTTCATTACACGGGAAAACCGCTGCTTTGCAAAGTGTCAGTATCGAGCCATTCTACACAACTCCGCACGGCACAAACAAAATCCGCGCCTGACAGACCAGAGCCGACCCGAGACCGCGACGCGATTAATCTACTAACGGAGCTTAGTCTCGGTAAAGAGCACGTGCTTCTGAACGCGCGGGTCGTACTTTCGGAACTCAAGCTTGTGCGGCAGGTTGCGCGGGTTCTTCTTGGTCACGTAGAAAAAGCCGGTCCCCGCCGCCGACAGCAGCTTCACCAGAATCGCCCCGCCCTTGCCCTTGGCCATGGTGATGAGCTTTCGAAGAGTTAGGAAAATCGTAGTTGCAAATGAGGGGGAACGGACTGCAGGTGAGAGGAGGAAGCGGAGCAGCCGCCCTGGTGTGGTGTGCGGTTCAAAACGCGAAACGATGCAGTAACGCGTACACTAACGGGTAGACTGCGTGTTACACTTCACACATTATAGCAGAACGGCAGGCCATATTCATATAAGGTACCACCTTCATCAAACACTCACGATACCGGTACTCATGGCAACAGCAACCCTTTCAACAACATCATAACCTGCCCATGCGTTATGGACATGGCTAGCTTCTCATCCTAACTCTTCTGAACTTTCCCTCCCTTCTTAGGATCAGCCGCAACCCCTCTTAACTTCCCAGCAACCGGCACCGCTCCTTTCCCCTTCCCGCCCTGCTTCCCTGCAGCAACCCCACCTTTCCCCATGCCTCCTCCCGCCTTGTCTTGCCTGGGAGCTGGATGCACCTTTCCCTTTGGCACCACCACTGCTCCTTTCCCCCCAGCATGTGCCGCAACATTTTTTCCTGCACCTGCTTGCACCGTCCCTGCTTGCTTCCCAGAACCAGGTACCACCCCCCCAGCTTTCCCACCAGCGCCCTTTCCTCCTGGTGCCTTCCCTCCAGGCGACTTGCCATGAGCTGCCTTCCCTCCCGGGGTCTTCCCCTGCTGCTTCCCCACCGGATGCCCCTTTCCCTTGGCACCATCCCCTGGCTTCTGCTGCTGCTTTGGAGTCGCCTGCTTAGCACCTGTGGTAGGGTGATTCGACTTACCACCAGGTTTCCCTGTCTCCTTCCCCCCTTTCCCACCCTTGCCCCTTTAGCATCTTTTCCACCTTTATCATCTTTCCCCTGTGCTGCCTGCTTGGGATCTACCATTCCCTTGCCGCCTTTACTATCCTTGCTATCCTTCCCACCACCCTTGCCCCCGCCCTTGCCGCTCTTGCCGCCCTTAGCCCCCTTGCCGTCCGCCGCAATGCCGTCCCCTTCCCCAGTGATCATCCTGACCGTCTCTTGCTGCTTGCCGTGGGCGCTCAGATCCATTGCCACGTGGGATGGCTTCGTCTCCGCTGCTGACGTGGACTGGCGAGGGAAAGGTGGGTGGGGGGAGGAAACAGGGCAGTTGAGAATACATGCCTAGATGCGAATAGAGTAGAGTGGCTTACAAGGTCGATTGCGGTGCAGCATGAGCAGCAGCAACAGCAGGTGCAGCGTCTTTTGCTCCCATGCAGAAGGGGCACTGGTTGACCATGGCAACGAGAAGTGCTTGCTCGGGCGCTACAAACAAGAGAGCAGAGCAGCGCAGAGCAGAGAAGAACAGACCAGAGCCGAGCTGAGTGCAACAGAGCAGAGAAGGGAAGAGCAGAGAAGCGCAGAGCAGAGCAGAGCGACTCACAAGGTCGACTGCAGCAGCGGCAGCGGCCTCTTTGGCCCCCATTGAAAAGGGGAACTTGTCCACCACGAAGAGAAAGACGAGCGCACTGCACAGCACCACCTGCGCCAGAGGGAGGGCGGGTGGGTGGGTGGGAGGGAGGGAGGGATGGGGACGAATGGAGCGAGGGAGGGAGGGATGGGGACGAATGGAGCGAGGGAGGGAAGGAAGCAAAGATGGGGAAGGGTGGAGGGAGGAGGGCGTGGGAAGGAAGAAGGTGGCCAAGGGGGGTTGAGAAGAGGCTGTCGGGGGGAAGGGAAGGGCGACGGGGGAATGGGGGGGGATGGGGAGGAGAGGGAGTGTGTATGGGCGAGCGGGTGGAGGGGTATAGAAAGCCAAGAGAAATGGAAAGTGCAGGGTACAGAATGGGGTAGGGGGAAGCGACAATGGGTGGCAAAGGGCTGAGAACAAAAGAAAGATCTGACGGCGAAAATCGAAGAGGCAGCGATCGGACGGACCAGAACGACGCAGAGAATGAAGGTCTGGAAGCGACATTTGAGCAGCCGCCTCACGAGCGAGCGACTCTTCTTGCTCTTTCGCGAACGCGACGACAGCGACGAGTCGCCGATCCCTCGCATGGACCCCTGAGGCGACGACCCCGCTGCCGTCCACAGGCGCCCCGCTCCGCGACTGCTGGCGGAGCCCGCTTTCATGGCTGCAATGCGATGGCTGCGACGGCTATGCGATGGCTATGCGACGGCTATGCGATGGCTGCGATGCGATGGTAGCAGTCGCTGCAGAGATTCTCATACAAAGGAGAATTGCGTTGAAAATTAGCAGTTCCCCAATGTAATCTTTTCAAGTAACCGCTGAGATTATTTTTGATCGTAGTGGGTGCTGCGGGCTTTAGATTGAAGCGCAGCGAGTGTTCATGGCTACAGCTATCGTGGAGATTGGAGCTGACGTGGACTACACGACGGCGCAACTACTTGAGAGACAGCAGAGCATTCGGGTTAGCGTGTAACGCAACGACCTTGAAGCGCAGACCTGCTAACCACACGGCGAGCAGACTAACGACGGCAAGGCATTGCGATCAACGATGACGATTCACCACCAACTAGTCTTGGCCTTGAGATTGGGCCTAGGGTGCGGTACCGTAGATCCTGGGAAGTCCTACTAGTCCTATCCTGATGTGTTCTGTGGTCCTCCTAGCAGAAATGGCTTGACTGTGAAGTGGAAACTCCGTTGCAACTATTTCACCGATATTTCTTGAGCATTCGCGATAAAAGGGAAGCGCTCATACACTCGCGATATTCCCTTTTATCGCTCAGTTGAAGCGAGATTAGTTGAAGCGCTCAGAAACTTCAAGGTGTATTCTATCCATACACATAATCTTGCAGCTGACCCGTTACGGTGGTGTCGCTTGCGTGGGTGGCTTCTCTGTAGCGGAGTTCGGAGTGTCCGAGCTGAGGGCGTTCGTTCGATTCGGGGGCCCCATGCGCGACGATCTGGTGCGGGAGTGCGATACCGTGCTCCGGAAGGAGGCTCAAAGTTCGGTAGTTCAAAAAGTTTGAGTACGGTTTGCTTTGTCTTTACGCGATCCAAAACGCTATTCTGCGTCACAAAGCGGTTCACTTTCCCATGTACTCCAAGCGCCTTAGTGCATGCACCACACCCAAATTTATGGGGAGCAGAGCACATCACCGCCGGGCAGCCTTGACTAGGAGCGGAATCGCCTGGCCTCGCTTCCGCGTTCCGAGACAGCGCGCAGCTCAAAGCCTCCCGCTCCGCGCATTGCTGATCCGAAGAAAACGCCGTAGTAGACGCGACAGGAACCATATAGCACAGCCGCTCGCAGGGAGTATTTGAAGGTGAACACGGAAACGAACCTTCTCGGCTACCTAAGATCGACTAGGCTCCTCGAGCTCAACTTCTCGAGTAACGACGCTCGAGCTGAGTCTTTGCGCTTGCACACACGCGGAGTCTTAGTTCCTGTCCGTTTCGTCCGCCGTAACCGCTCCTCATCTCTGCGCACGCGCTGAGCTTCGGGGAGTTCACTTCTCGCCAGTCCGCCATTTTTGTCCTCATTTCAGCAAAGTCGGTGCGGCTCGAAAGTCGGTCAAGCGTACATTTGTGGCTTGTAACATCCGGCTGTGATCTCGGGTATCAACGGCTGAGATCGCACAGGACAATGCGGCCGGAAGCAGGCGTCGCCGGGAGCTCGCGAGCATGCGAGAGCATGAAGGACGTGACCGTTCCGCGTGAAAATGATTTTGGATCGCCACCGAGTAACCAGTTCGCTAAGCCACCTTCGCCAAACGATTTCGCCGCAGTGAAGGATTTCACGGCAGGCGTCGCTGCAGGGGTGGCTCTCGTCGTCACCGGCCATCCGTTCGATACCGTCAAGGTCAGGATCGGACGGTCGTGATTGAACATCGGCGTGCAACTGACGGTGTCGAGTGATCTTCGCATAGTAACAGGCCCCACCGCCCACTTCTTATCCTTTCGTCCCTTCCTACCTCATTCTTCCTCGTTCATCCCATCCCTCCGCATGCGCCCATCTCATCTCCTCTCATGCATCCAATCCTCTCAGAAGGGTGTTTTTGAGAATTCTCAAAAACACCCTTCACCCGTCGCCCATGTTTTTTGAGAATTCTCAAAAGTTTTTTTCGAGTTCTCAAAAGTTTTTTTAGAATTCTCAAAAGTTTTTTTAGAATTCTCAAAAACACCGTTCACCCCATCCCTCCGCATGCGCCCATCTCATCTCCGCCCACGCACCTCATCCTCTCCCCGTTCGTCCCATCTCCGCAGGTTAAGCTGCAGGCCAGCAACGTCAGCAACGGCCCGTCGTCCGCGTCGCCAGCGTCGCAAGCGTCGCTAGGGGCTCCGCGTTATCGCTCGGCATGGCAGTGCACGTCGCACATTCTTCGCACTGAAGGGGTAAGGCTCACAGCCCTTCGTTATAAGCTCTTCATTCCGTATAAGCAGATCGCTCGGTGCACAGCCCCTCCGCGGACCCCACCGCGCTCACCTCCGCGCAGTCCCTCCGCGCACACCATTGCGCAACCCCCAGTGCATTCGCGCGTGCGTTGGTCCCCGCTTTTTTTCCTCAGATTTTCGGCCTATACCGTGGCGCCACGTCATCATTCATCGGCGTGGCAGTGGAGAGCTCCCTGCTGTTCGGCTCGTACACCCAAATAAAGACCGCCCTCCAGGTAACTACCCCCAGACATGTACCAATGTTGAGGTCCAGGTACCAATGTTGTGACCCAGATATCAGTGTGCAGCATACCAATGTTGAGGTCCAGGTACCAATGCTGAGGCTTGGGTACCAATGCTGAGGCTTGGGTACCAATGCTGAGGCTTGGGTACCAATGCCGAGGCTTGGGTACCAATGCTGAGGCTTGGGTACCAATGCCGAGGCTTGGGTACCAATGCTGAGGCTTGGGTGCCAACCGAACCCCGGGTACCAATGCTGTCGCCTGTTGCCCGTGTCTCTGAGCCGCTCCTCTCCCCTCCCCTCTCCTCCTCCCCCTCCCCTCACTTCCCTCCTCTCCCCCTCCCTTCCCCGCCCTCCTCTCCTCCTTCCTTGTCTGTCTTCTTCTCTCACCTCCCTTGTTTCTGTTTCCCCGTCCTCCCGTGTCTCAGAACGGAGAGCGGTCAGCACCCACAGCAGGCACGGTGGCGGCAGCAGCAGGGCTGGCGGGCGGGCTCATCAGCTTCGTGCTCTGCCCCACAGAGCTTGTCAAGGTGCGTTACTAGGGGGTAAATGCTGTGGTGAGTGTGTGGCATGTGCTGGTGGTATACACTCCCTCGGTTGTCCGCACTAAACTAAAGCAAGGCAGCAGCAGGGCTGGCTGGCGGGTGTCGTGCTCGGCCCCACAGAGCTTGTCAAGGTGCGTTGCAAGAGAACGGGTTACTAGCGTGTGAGTGCTGAGGTGAGTGCTGAGGTGAGTGCTGAGGTGAGTGCTGAGGTGAGTGCTGAGGTGAGTGCTGAGGTGAGTGCTGAGGTGAGTGCTGAGGTGAGTGCTGAGGTGAGTGCTGAGGTGAGTGCTGAGGTGAGTGCTGAGGTGAGTGCGTGGCACATGTATGACTGTCCTGCATGCTCCGCTTTGCGCCGCTTCCACAAGTACCTTTGATTGCCTCCAGTGCGTCGTGCTCAACACATTCAGAGCATCTCCTTTCGGTTGTTGTGCGTCGTGCGCGTCTCTCTCTTGCAGTGCCGCCTTCAAGTGCAAGCCAAGTCCCCTGCTCTTGCACCCGCCGCCTCCATATATACTGCAGCAGCAGCAGCGGCAACAGCAACAGCAGCACCAGCAGTAGCGGCAGCGGCAGCAGCTGCCTCTAAGCGAGTTCCTGCCGTGACAGGCCTAACCCCTTCATTCGCTGCCGCTGCTGCTCATCCCGCCCCCTTCAGTACAAACGCTGCCTTCCCCTCCCTAGCACGGAACCCAGCAACATCAGCAGCAAAAGCAGCAGCTGCTGCTGCCGCAACCCAACACCAGCAAATCCATTCGCAGCCGCCACTGCAGCAACAAGTTTTGCTGCAGCAGCCGCATTTGCAGCAGCAGAATCAACGGGTGTTGGGGGGGACAGGTCACTACAAGGGCCCGTGGGATTGCGTGGTTCAGACCGTCAAGGCCGATGGGGTAAGCGTGTTGGGTCGTTTCTGATCAAGGGAGTGAGTGAGTGATTGAGTGAGCGAGTGTGTGAATGTGACCGAGTGGGTGTAGTCGTCCGTTCAACTGCTTCTGGACTACCTCCCTCCACCGTTTTTCGCCCCCTCTTCGTCTCATCTCTCTCTCACTTCTCTCCCACTCCCCTCCTTCTCGTGCTGCAGCAACAGGGGCTGTTCCGAGGCCTTACAGCGACAGCACTGAGGGAGTCCCTGGGCAACATCGGCTTCTTCCTCACATACGAAGCCATCAAACACCGCCTCCTCCCTGCCCTCGCACCCTCCTCTCCCTCGCACTCCCCCACGCACTCCCCTCCCTCTTCCTCCTCCTCCGCCTCCCCGGACCTCTCAGTTGAAGTTATGCATGAAAGGTCAAGCCAAGACAGGGAGGACCCGAGGAGAAGAGATCTGGCAGAAGGGAGAGGGGGCCAAGGGGAAGGGGTGTTGAGAGGGGGGGAGACAGAGGGGCAGGGGGGGGCGAGTGAGTGGCGGAGGGTGGCAGCTGAGGCTGCCACAGCCATTGCCAGTGGGGGGATAGCAGGCATCGTGGTGAGTCGGGTGATCCTTTAGTTGAATATATAATCACAGGTGGGTGGGTAGGGTGAGTGAGTGGCATGCTAAGGCTACCACTACCATCGCCATTGCCAGTGGGGGGCTAGTGGGCATTGTGGTGAGTCGAGTGCCACCCCTCGGTTTGGTGCTTCGTTCATCAGATTCTATGTTCCCTAATGCTGCATCAGCTGTGGATGGCAGTGTCGCCCCTCTTGGCCCAATCAACACTCGCTTTTAAGATGACCCTCTTTCCCTCCCCTCCCCTCCCCTCCCCTCCCCTCCCCTCCCGCTCCCTCCTCTCCCATTTGCACCCCTCGTTCTCACGTGTCCCCTGCACACCAGTTCTGGTCAGCAGTTCTCCCATTTGACGTCATCAAGACCCGCATTCAGACGGCAGACGCTTCGGCATCACCTGAGTCGCTGCGCATGCTCAGCCAGTGCAAAGCTGTGAGTGTTCTCTTTAAACCCAACAATTCTCTTATGGCCTCTTTGTTGCCCGGTATGCTGCCGATCTCTCTCTGCCCTGCCTTGATCCATGCATCTCCAGCCATCACTCTTGTACCTTGTCTCACATCCATATCTGCACCTCCCCCCATGTACGGTAACATCCCGTGTGTTTCAGATTCTTAGGGAGAGTGGTATCAGGGGGTTCTATGCCGGTCTCCTGCCCACACTCACTCGAGCCTTCCCGGCCAATGCTGCGGCTGTTGTCGCCTGGGAGCTAACCTCAAGGCTGCTAGGGGTCTCCAACCCTTGACAGTAGTCAAATCAGTTCGAAACCATACCAGTTCAAAAGCAGCATTCGCTGCCGAAGCCGTGGCTGGTGTAGTTCGCAGAGCTGCCTTCAACTGCACTCCTATGAAATGTCAGGATTCAGGATTGTAGTATCAATCCTACGTGGTTAGAAAAGGGTGCTCAAATGTGTCTTGATGCCTAGACCATCTTCCTTGTAAGCTAATACTACCGTATATATAAATAACAAAACCTTGGTAAAAGCTACTGCATTAACTCCCACGGTACCAGTACTGGTCCAGCCCAGAATGAGTGCCACGCAATCAACAGACGGACTAATAACTTGGCCACATTGCCAGACCCAAAGCTGGCACCAACCAAAGCCCACTTCCTGCCAGAAGCAGAAACAGCACCCAGCAAGCCCCGTATCACAGCAGCCCTCCAACAGGGTCCATTGGACTAGCAAGCCGCTGCAGCAGCAGCAGCTGAGGCTGAACCCAAGTCCGAAAGCAGACCTCCCCCCAAGCAAGTCCTCACCAGCAAGCTGTATGTCACAGCAACCCCTGTTCCGCCTGCTGCTGCCACAGGGTCCATTGGACTAGCAGCAGCAGGTGCAGCAGAGGCCGAACCCGCGTCAGGCACAGCAGCGGGCGGAACAGCTGAGCCCAAGTCAAATAGCAGATCTCCCCCCACCAGCAAGCTCTGTATCACAGCAACTCCCCCACAGGGTCCATTGGACTAGCAGCTGCAGCAGCAGCAGGTGCAGCAGAGGTTGAACCCGCGTCAGGCACAGCTGAACCCAAGTCTGAAAGAAAATCTCCCCCCAACAGGTCCCGACCGGCAAGCTCTGTATTACAGCAGCCCTCCCACAGGATCCATTGGACTAGCAGCGGCAGCAGCAGAGGCTGAACCGGCATCAGGCACAGCTGAACCCAAGTCTGAAAGCAGGTCTCCCCCCAACAGGTCCCCACCGGCTGCTGCTGCTGCAGCAGCTGGGGCGGCAGAGGGTGCAGGGGCCATGGGAACCGATGCAAACACGTCTCCAAATGGGTCTACTATCGGCACTGCTGCTGCTGTGGCTGCTGCTGCTGCTGCTGCTGGGGCTGCTGTTGTTGTTCCTGCTGCTGCCGATGATGACGATGCAGTTCTGTCTGCTACCCCGTTACCCAACGACACTCCTGACGCAGCACCACTTGTGCCACCACTGCTGCCACCACTGCCAGCACCACCGCCGCTGCCAGTAGCAGTGGCAGCGCCAGCAGCAGCGCCGGATGCGACGGTGCTCCAGAGGTCAGAGAGGGCGTCTGGCTTCTTGCTGCTCGTGGATCCCAAGGGGGAGGCTGTCCACGTGGCAGCCAGCCCGCCCATCCCGCCTCCCCCAGCCGCCCCCTTCCCCCCCGCCCCTGCTGTCCCCACTCCAGCCAGGCCCAGCGCCCCTGGCCCTACAGCTGCTCCCGCTGTGCCAGCAGCAGCAGCGGCGGCGGCGGCAGCAGGGACGCCAGTGGGAGGCGCTTCTTTGAAAGAGGCTTGGATGGAGACGGGCGGCGGGATGGTGACGGAGTAAACGCCAGTGACGGACGGCGCGGGTGCGGGGGCGGAAGGGGTGAGCAGCCACGGGGGTGGCGCGGGGGTGAAGGTGGGGGAGAGCGCCACTGTGGGGGGACCTGAGTAGGCGGGGGCTTTGGGGGCAGCGGTGGCTGGTGAAGCGGAAGAGGAGGAGCCGAGGAGCATGGAGGCTAAGTCCCCTCCCTTGGATACCTGCAGAGACGCGCGGAGAGGGAAGCGGGGCGGGGTGGGGGGTGGGGAGGGACGGGAGAGGGACGGAGAGTAAGGGGAAGAATGGGGGGGAGGAAATGGGAAAGGGAGAGGCGGGGGAAGCTAAAGGAGGAAGCGGGAAAGGAATTTTGCAGTGGCAAGCGAGTGTAAGGGGAGGATAGGCGAGGAAAGGAGTGGGGGTCTGACAGCGAATAGGTGAGAGGTGGAAGTAAGCCTTAAACCATTGGATGCACGCGACTCACGGAGGCAAGGGAGAAGCCGCTGCGCCTGGTCCTTGAGGCTGCCCCCCGCAGCCTTGCCAGCGGTATGAGAGCGCAACGGAAAGGCTAGAACATGAGCGCATGAACGCGGGGACGTGCGGCCAGGAACAACTGAGAGAGGCACGGCGACTCACGGAGGCAAGGGAGAAGCCGCTGCGCTGGTCCTTGAGGCTGGCCCCCGCTGCCTTGCCCGGCGCTCCCCCGATGCCGAAGTCGAACTCATAGTTCTGCCAGTCACGCACCCATCCACCGCACGGAGAGCAACGCACAGGGTGTCAGATCCATGTCACAGATCATTTTCAGCTCAAAGTCGGCTGGACGTCCGCTTGACATTAGCGCAATGCCAGGAAATTTCGAGCTCCGGCACTGATTTTGGAATCCCCATTGTATTGAATCGCTATCCACCCTGATGCGAAATGCATAATTGTGCAATTTCATGCCGTTCGAAAATTCCAAAGTAACCGCTTTTAGTTCGGTAGCGAGCTTGCCTGTAGCGGAGCCGCGGCAGTGAGCACATTGATGGTCTTCTGCTGTTGCTCCTTCGACGCTGCCGTCGCCATATCTACCCGAAATGGTAAGTCTTACTCGTGAAAGCAACACTGGAGAGTGAAACAAAGTTGAATGAATGTTGCACGGGCGATCGCAGTGAGGAGAGAGAATCACAGATACAACTTATCGACAAGAGAGGACGACGGACGTGGAAACTGGTTCTGGGCGTGAGTAGAAATCTCGAGAAATGCGGGCGAAATGGTGAAGCGGAGATGAGAGATTTGAAAGATTCATGGCTCTCGAGTTTGTTGTGAGTCGGTGGGCGATCGCGGACGAAGCGATGGTGGCGACAAGTAACTGAATTTTCCTGTCGCGAAGACTAGGAGAGAACAGAAACTGCTGGGCAGTGTAGCTTATAAAATGTTAAACTTCCACAGAACTCTCTAATTGACGTGAGCATCTTAGACTAGCCACACCAGCGCTCACCAAGGTGAGCACATGGATTTCCACTAAACAACTAAATGGGTACAACGAGTAAGGACACAAATGCCTAGCTTGGTAAGCAGTGTCCTGCGGTGTCCTACAGACAAAGTGGGCGGAATTCACTCCACCCAATTCATGACCTCCCCAATGTAACTATGAGCCTTCATCGACCGTACACTCTGCTCTCGCCATTGTTAGTCTATATTATTTCCACCTCCATCTCCTGCGCATCCTCCTCCATTTCAGGCATGGGCGGTGGTAGATACCGGGCATTGAAAATCCGCCGACTAGACAGCCCAAACGTTTCTCGGATAGGCATGCTGAGATGCCGTTGAATGCCCGCGGCAACGGTTGAAGGCGAATCAGCGAAGCCGGTTGTAGAGAGGATTTCGGCAAAGGCGTTGGGGATGGTGGTGAGCATGTACTGTATTACTGACTGGGGCACAGTTGAGTCCTTGTCGAAAAAGAGAAGATGAATTTGCACTGACACCTGGAGGAGCAGGCAAAGGGAATGGGTGGTGGAGAACAAAATGAACTGATCCCAAGCTCCAGAGACTGATGGTAGAATTCGCAGGAGAGATGGTGGAAACAGAGTGTGTGAATAGTACGAATGAGATTGAAGCCACAGGCAGGTACTATAGGAGGCATGTCTGGTCACAAACTTGACTCGTGGAAGGAAGCCTCCCATGCCCCGTACGAAGATGGTCATTTCTTTGCTGAAGCTGATGCTGGCCACAGCAGGAGCATCAGGGCAGGGGTAAACAATGTATGAGTCTTCACATGAATAACAGGTTCCCGCACGTGCAGCATGGGCACTCACCCTTGGCAGGATGTCTCGCACGTCACACGCAAACGCGGTTTTGAGGTTGCTGAAGCCAATGTCAGGACGCAGTAGGAAGAGCGGGCGGGTGAAGTCGCGCACGTGAGGCGCCTTCACGTCGTCGGCTGTGAGCACAGGCGCACACCCTCTGCTCCACATCTGAGGGTTTCACCAAGACAAGTAAAGTATGGGTAGATGCAGAGGGGGGGAGGATATTGGTTGAAGATACAAGGGTTACAAGAGGTGTCAACAGTCGCGCACGTGAGGTGCCTTCATGTCGTCGGCTGTGAGCACGGGCGCACACCCTCTGCTCCACATCTAAGTAAGGTTAGTGAACCACATGGGGCAAGCAAGGCATGCGCAGGGGTTTTGAAGTGCCATGAAAGTCGCGCACGTGAGGCGCCTTCACGTCGTCTGCTGTGAGCATGGGATAAGGCACGCACGGGCAGAAACACAAGGGAGACACGGAATAGAAGGAGGAGAGACTTGGTGAGAAGGTAAAATAAGGGCAAAGGATATGTTGACACGCTTGTCATCTCTGAGTCTTGCCTTGGGCATCGGCAGACGTGGAAACAGGAATCAAAGTGAATGAAAGCAGCAACAGCAGCAGCAGCAGCAGCAGCAGCAAGAGGGCACGGACCTTGAAGTTGCCTTGCATGATGCCAAACACTTGGTCCAGGTCGTTCAGAGCAAAGCCCCCCTCATAGCCCGGAGCATCCAGCAACCTGCCATTGCAGTTTCAGTAAACAAGTGAACAAGGGGACTGACCGAGTCACTGAGATGATGTGCACAGGCTTGTTCACCGATGGTACAGAAACAACTACTCGAGTTAGAGGAACACAGCAAATAGACCAGCAGAAGGAGACATACATCTGCTAGAGAGACATACAGTCTGGGAATAACCTGGGAGCCCATGATGATGCTGCTACGTTTGGAGAGACATACCTGGGCGCCAGGCAAGGCAGCGGGGCCAGCCAGCATAAAGGAATAATGAATTATTCACCTGGGCGAGGAGCCCATGATGATGATGCGCTTGAACACTCTCGGGCGCTCCAAGGATGCCAGCAGCCCCATCATGCCGCTCTGCTGGTGCCCTATGAACGTGCACTGGTGTCCCCAGTCCGTGCCCTGGTGATGCAGAGATGAGAGGCACAAATGGAGGGAGAAGGGGAAGGGGGAGAGGGTAAGGAGGCCAGCAGCCCCATCATGCCGCTCTGCTGGTGCCCTATGAACGTGCACTGGTGGCCCAAGTCCGTGCCCTGGTGATTCCCAGGTGAGCATATACAAGGGGAGGGAGTGTGGGGAGAGAGGGGGAGGAAGAGAGAGGTGTGGGGATGTGGGGAAGGGGGGAGGAGGGGAGAGGAGATTGTAAGTTGGGGAGTGGGGGAATATGACCGTGGTGCTGACGAATGCAGGCAGAAACAGCTGATCCGTGCCTCGCCCATCTGCCCTGCCCTTGCCCGCACTGGCACCGCACCCCCTAGCCCACCTCACCTTTGCCAAGCCAGGGTTCTCAACCACTACTCCTCCTACGGACCTCAAAAAGCATGCCTCTATTGCTTCTCCCCTCCCCTTCCAGCATAGCATACCTCGACGCCCAGCTCCGCCAGCAGCTGCAGCAGGTCCTCTGCGAAGCCATGCAGCGTGCTGTAGCGCTGGTAGTCAAACGCGTCATAATCCGTGCTGGTGGAGGGTGGGAAAAGGTGGCAGGGGGGAGGTGGGGGTGGGAAATGGGAGGGGTGAAGGAGAGGATGGCCATGCAGCGTGCTGTAGCGCTGGTAGTCAAACGCGTCATAGTCAGTGCTGGTGGAGGTGGGGGGAAAGAGGGGAAGGGGGGTGAAGGGAGGGGGGCGTAGAGGGACGGTGGGGCAGGAGGAGGGGAGTAATTGGCTGGCAGGTGCGGAAGGAAAGGAAGAGAGGGCAGAGAGGCATGACACATGCAGCGTGCTCGGGGGTATGCAAGTACGCTAAAAAGGTTGAAAAACGGAAGCAGCAGACAAGTGGAGAAGGGGTAGCGGGAGTAATGGAGGAAGGAAAGCGGAGGGAGGAGGGGAGGGAGGGGGGGAGGCGCGGGAGGGGGGGGGGAGGAGATGGGGGTGGGGCCAGTTTCAAGGTTGTAAAAGTATTTGAAGTTGTGGAATTTGACGAAGTCTTTTACACGATTCATTGAGATGGGGGCATGCCATGGTGTGCCATGCCACACACCCCACCATGCCATGCCATGCCCCTCCCACACTACCCAGCCCCTGCAGGCCTGCCATCCACCCCAGCCCCTGCCCCAGCCCCAGCCCCAGTCCCAGCCCCAGCCCCTGGCACGCCATGCCGTGCTGTTCCCAACCCCCCCAGCCCCAGCCCCTCCGACGCAAAGCCATTCCCTGCCATGCCATTCTTGCACACCATGGCGTGCAGCAGAGCCTGAGAGACACACGTACCCCAGCGCGCCTGTGAGGTCGTAGAGCACAATGCGGTACACACTCGTGTCCAGCTGCCCCACTATGCTGCTCCAGATCTGCACACACGCACGCACGGGCGATGTGAATGGGAGGGAACGCGCAGAGGAGGTAGGGCCACGCTTGGGTACTTTCAGCAGTCCCTGGCGCCTAGCAGTTCAGCACGCTGCTGCGTACAAGGTGGATGTGGGAGGAGAAGGGGAAGCGGAGGAGAGGGGGGGAAGGTGGGGGAGGGAAGGAAGGAGGGGAGAGGGAGTAGGGTGGGGGGGATGGGCAATCCCACATTGTGCAAACCAGCGAGAATATATGCATTCGCCTGGTTCCGGGGACCACGCCTGAGTGTGATCGTCTGCCAATGTTTTCACGCACTCACCACCATAGGGGTGGATGGCGAGGTACCTCCGTTAGGTTATTCACTTTTCATCATGCGCGTGGTTCGTTTCCCAAATGTTACAGTCTAACCCTATCGGACAAAACACTTCCTGTTTCTTAATTTGCCCAGATTTGTGCGACTCACATTTTTATTCTGTCCGAAGCCGTGGGAGAGCACGAGGAGTTCAGAGCCCGTGCCTACGATCTGCACGTTGTGTCGTTCCAGCGCCGTCTTGGACGCGCGCAGCTTCGCCGCCTGCATGGCGCTGTGGGGGACAGAGAGGGGGGAGGGGGGGAGAGAGAGAACGAGTGCTGAAACGGCCATATCGTCACAAAGACGGAACACACGTTGTCGCTCCCAAACGGGGCTGCTACGGCGAAACTGAAAGAACAAACAAACAAGCCAATAAAGGAAGCAGCTGGGTTAAGGGTCATTCCTCTGCTCACCGCATGGCGACAGCAGACGCTCGCCCCGTGCCGCCGCCGTGCATGGAGCCGGACGCCATGAAGGCCGCGTGCATGGACGAGCTGCCCATCGCCGCCACTCCGCCGTGCATCGACGTCGCCCCGGCCATCCCCCCCGCTCCCACGCCGTGCGTGCTACTGTTCATCTGCGCGAACATCGGGTTACCACCTCGCGGCCCGAACCCCATTCCCATGCTCCCGTCGCCTGCGACCGCTGCGACGCGGCCGTTGTCGCTGGATCGCACCTCCTGAAGCATCTGCTTGAGGCCATTCTTGGCCGAAACATCATCATCGTCGGCCGTGCTTCTGCCGGTGATCTCGGAAAGATCCAACGGCTGGTTGTTGCGGTCCCAGTCGTTGCTGCCAGGTCGCGATCCGGGCAGGAACTCGGGGTTTTCTTTCTTGCCCGTCAAGTGCACGCCATCTACTGGCTGCTCCGGCTTCACTTTTGAGGACCCGTGCTCTGAGTTGTCTCGCGATCGCGCTGCTCGAATGCCTCCGTGTTCCGATCCTTCGCGTGACTTGGATCGTTGCGCTGGGGTGTGCGATATCTCCTTGCCTTCTGCGCCTGCCTGATCCAATCTTATAGATGGCTTTTCTGGTGCACTGTAGTTGCTGTGTTGGCCGCTGGTTTTTGTGGGAAAGGAGTCATCGGCATGCGGTCGGCTTAGACAACCTCCCATTGGCGTATTAGCAGAATGAGGCTGCGATGAGGTTCGTTCTCTGGCTGGCTGTAACGGCGATACTGACTGTTCTCTGTTTCAGAGAATATATTGTACGGTGCTTCCTTTCTCGCTTGCTCTGAAGTGATTGCTGTGCGATTAGGGTACGCTAGTCGTGGCGACACGAAGTTAGTATCGACAAGGCTGACTCGTTACACCCGTCACATTGCCGGGGTACGTACTATACGTCATGGCTCTTTCCAAACAAAGAAGCTTCAATCTCTAAAAACCAGTAGTAATCAACAGGTAGTGTTGACGATTCAGACGGACTGAATCGGTTACCCTCGAGCTCCGAAGACGAGCAGACACTACTTGGGCAAGACGATGCCTGAAGGATGACAACGTGCTTGAGGGGGAATGGAAGGAAAAACTCGCAGCTAAGCGAAGTCTGCCTTGTGGGTGGAAATGGAAGGAACTAGTGCTGCGCTCTTGACGTCTGCTGCTTCTTCTTGAGCCTTTTTTCTAGAGCACTCTGTGAGCTTGCGGGTGGCGAGGACGAGGAGGAAAGGAAGCACGTGGCTGAAGAAGAAACCGCAATCCTGCGAAGGACTCAAGTGGAGGTGGTCCCCCCCCCCTTCTATCCCCTCTGACTCCCCCGCAACTGGTGGGTTAGGCTGCCTGTGGTAGGAAATCAGGGATTCATCCACCGTACATCGTCTTGCCTATCGGACGGCTAATTATGCTCTGAACCGAACCCAGCGAGGATTGTGGCTTGTTTGTCTGTATTTCTGGTTTTGGGGGGTTCGATGGAGATCAAAAGCATATTGCACAGAATTACACCCCAGTTTTGAGAGTCGACTTTCAGAACATGCTTGCTAGAAACAATTCCTGATCTCACTTCTTTTCTACCCCTAATTGCCGTCTGGTCAGAATACCGAGTGAAATGTTCCAACTTTATGCACTCCTTGTGAGTTTACGTAATACACTGATCCACAAATTAGCCCGAGATTTACATGGGGGAGTTTTTTGCATCAGGGACTCTGATAACTATTAACCACCCCTCTGATTGTGATGTGAGGGATTTGGCTGTGGGTCCACGTGGGAACCTTCTCTCGTGAATAGCGAAATACTACAGGTGGAAAATAATCTACGGTGCACATGTGCTGCCAATGCACGCCAGTTATTGGGCAGGACTTTGTGGCTAGAATGTGGCGCTTCTGAGGACGCTGTAAAGTGGAGAATCGATCGCCTCAGGGTCGTTTTTAAGCGCGGTTGTAAACAGTTGTGTACCTTTCGTATGCAAAAAGCGGGGTTTCATTGCGGTGACCGGATCGATTTCCCCCGATCGATTCCTGACCAGCCTGCAAGTGATTTGCAACTCTGATCTTGCATTGTGACCGTGAGTGCTTGGGAGAATGTGTCTCATTATCTGGGCCCTCGATAATGATACAAAACTTCTGACAATTTAGGACAACACAAGTCGTACGACCTACAGGCAGTGTGCTTGAAATTGTTCTTCAAACGAGTGACTCGATTTCCTGTCTCGCGCCATTTTCGGATAATGCTCAACTAAGGGCGCGTCCCCTCCCTCGATCGATCCTGCCCTCGATCGATCGAGGGACAGCTACAGTGTCGCAATTGACAAGGTAACCTGATTTCGAGAGAGCTTGCGAAACTACAGTAACTGGTGCCTAACGATCTTGTCACCTCTGCTGATGACGATCGATGTGCCTCGTGGCCACACCGATCTCATCTTTAGTAGGATCGATGGTTTTTTGCCCCTAGTTTTCTCGATCCTGTCACCCTGGGCTCGAGATCGATCCGCTGCTGTCACCTCCTACCAATCCCGCCCCAATCCTGCGATCGGTGTGCTCGATCGGTTTTTCACAGCGATCGCGGGATCGATCGAGGGAGGGGACGCGCCCTAACCTCTGACCTTCCCCACGCCCCTTCACACCTGTCCCATCCCTGGCTTTGCCTGTTATTACACACCACACCCACTCCATCGAGCTGCTGTGGGATTGTCTCCCCCTTGGAAACCCTAGTCCTTCGAAGCAGTCTGGCATAGATCCAAACATTAGGGGTCGTTGTGTAGGATACTGGTGCGACGTTTGGTAGTCACTGTACAAAAGGAGGAAGATCGACACTTTCTGGGCAGCTGGTCTATGGCCACAAACATGGCCGTCGTTGAGGAGCCATTGTATCCTATCGCCATTCTGATAGACGAGCTAAAGAACGACGATATCCAGCTTCGTCTGAACTCAATCAGACGCCTTAGCACCATCGCACGAGCACTTGGCGAGGACCGGACACGGAAGGAGCTAATTCCCTTTTTGAACGAGAACAATGACGATGATGATGAAGTGCTACTTGCTATGGCAGAAGAGCTTGGTTCGTTCATTCCGTACGTGGGTGGTGTCGATTACGCTCCCGTGCTCCTTCCTCCGTTAGAGACATTATGCACGGTTGAGGAGACAGTTGTCCGGGATAAGGCCGTTGAGTCGTTGTGCAAGATTGGACAACATATGAAGCCCCGAGACATTGTCGAGTTCTTCGTTCCACTTGTTCAGGTGCCATGCATTCGCCAATGTATTCCTCTGGAAGGCCTGAATTTCGAATGTTTAAAGGTAACTAAGTATCTTCTAATCCTCTTGTATTGCCAGAGGCTTGGAGCGGGGGAATGGTTTACAGCTCGCGTGTCTGCTTGCGGGCTGTTCCATATCGCTTATCCCAGCGCGACCGAGCAGCAAAGAGCCGATCTTCGAACTCTTTACGGACAGCTTAGCCATGACGACATGCCGATGGTCCGTCGCTCGTCTGCACTGAACATGGGCAAGTTTGCCGCCACAGTGGAGCCGCAGTACCTGAAGCTTGACATTCTCGATTTTTTTAAAGATCTTACGAATGACGGTACGAGTCTTTTAAAACCTGCACGAAATTTGATATATTCACCGGTCCGTGTATCTAATATCGCTTCAATTCGTTTCGCAGACCAGGATTCTGTGAGACTATTGGCTGTCGAAGGATGTGCTGCGGTCGGAAAGCTCCTGGAGAAGAAGGATTGCATCTCCAGCATCCTTCCTGTGATTCTGTCGTTTGCCCAGGTATGTCGTTAAGCATTGTTGCTCTCCACACATCGCGTTTCCTTCCTCCAGGTCCACCCTCCTGCAAATGCCGCGTTGGGCTATTAGTATGTTCTCAACTGATAGCATTGGCGTAACTTCTCACTGTTATGTCAATTGGCAGGACAAGTCGTGGCGAGTGCGCTATATGGTGGCGAACCAGCTTCACGAGCTTTGTGAGGCCGTTGGCCCCGAAGTGGCAAGGTGCTTGGCTTTCCTTTGCGTTCAGTCGTCTCTCCCGGTTACATTTTTCTAATATTGGTTTTCGTTCGAACAGGGCGGAGCTTATCCCCGCGTATGTGAAGCTTCTGAGGGACAATGAGGCAGAGGTCCGCATTGCGGCTGCTGGCAAAGTGACTAAGATCTGCGCCATTGTTAAGAATGGCGAAGCGTTCAATGTCATTCTACCATGTGTGAAGGTGGGCGATTTCTTTCACTTTGATAAAGCATCGATTCTTAAAACCATCTGTTTACTCACAGCTTGCATGTCAATCACTTTCTCAGGATCTTTCGACTGATACCTCTCAACATGTGCGGTCTGCCTTGGCATCTGTCATCATGGGGATGGCTCCGCTTCTTGGCAAGGTGCACTTCCGTCAATACGCTGGTACCGTCTCTCTTTCCAGTTTGGTTCATGTGCTCATGTAGTCTGCCCACATTCCACAGGAGCTCACCATTGAAACTCTGCTACCAATTTTCCTGGCTCTGCTAAAAGATGAGTTCCCTGATGTCCGGCTCAACATTATCAGCAAGCTGGATCAAGTTAATCAAGTCATTGGAATGGACCTTCTGTCACAGTCGCTTCTTCCAGCTATTGTAGAATTGTCAGAGGACAGACACTGGCGAGTGCGACTTGCCATCATTGAGTACATTCCTCTGTTGGCTGGTCAACTTGGAATGGATTTTTTTGATGAAAAGTTAAAGTCGTTGTGCATGCAATGGCTTGAAGACCAGGTAAATAGTCATTCTTCCTGTTTCTTGCTTCAAGTGCAAATTACTACCGGAATTTCTGTGCAGTTCCTCATTTCCGTCATGTTTTTGTTTGTTGGCATTGCAGGTGTACTCAATTCGTGAAGCAGCGGCGACAAACCTGAAGCGTTTAGCAGAAGAGTTTGGTGCTGAATGGGCCCAATCTCAAATCCTGCCAATGGTAGGTGTCATGTCAGCAAGGTCCATGCTTGTTGTATTACCTTTCACTCACAATGAGATGTTTGCTGTTCTGCAGATCATGGATAAAGTGAACAACTCTCACTACCTGTATCGAATGACAGTCCTGCTTTCTCTCTCCATGTTGGCCCCAGTGCTTGGTGCTGAAGCAACTTGCAATACTATGCTTCCTGTTATCCTGAATGCCGCCAAGGACCGGTAAGCAATTTTGCCGTTTTTTTAGTCAAGGTTGGTATGTGGAATGTATGAATATTAACATGCTATCATCCTCTGTGCCCGCAGTGTACCGAACATCCGCTTTAACGTTGCCAAGATGCTTCAGTCCTTCATACCAATTGTTGAGCCATCCGTAAGTGTCGGCTTGGCTTGCCTCTGCCTTATTTTGGTGAGTTCCATCCTGTTTGGTGACTGAATATGTAATTGTTCTGGTTGTCTAATTGTTGCAGGTCGTTGAACAAACCATCCGACCTTGTCTATTGGAGCTCAATGAGGATCCTGATCCAGATGTTCGTTACTTCGCTAATCAAGCTCTTCAAGCATGTGATCAAGTTATGGTTGGTTAATAGATACTGCAGGTCACCTGGCCGTAGTGCGTTTGGTTTCTGCTGTAACCAAATTCGATGTATGGCTTGTTATGTAATAATAGCAGTCAATGATTGTGATTGTGGACTGCTTTTGGTATATCAGGAATCGTTATCACATCGCATTTATAATACATTGGTACTTGCATGATGTTACTTGAGTGTTCTTCTAACCAGTAGCTGAGCCAATCACCCCGTCCGCTATGTGTGGCTTGATTGGTGGAAACGCTAGAACGGAGCATTCGATTGGTCAATCACCTCAACAACTGCGTGTCCCCTTTGCGAGCTTCTCTGACAACGCGTTCTTCACCCTTCGGTCTTGGTGCTGGCTGTTGTGTTGCTCCACAACAAAGCCTTTAGTGAACTCTTTGTGGTGAGGCCTGCAGCACACATTCCGCCACAGTTGTTGAGCTGAATCTTTTCCAGCACATCTGCCTGGTTGGTTTACAGAAGCTTACACCGCCTACGTCTCTTCACAACACTGTTTGGCTTTAGTTTGGAGCAGGTGCAACTTCTTTCGCAGTGTCGTACAATATGGCGCAGACTCTAGAAGATTGGTACAAACAGATGCCCATAATAACCAGGTCTTACCTGACACTTTCGTTCTTGACAACCGCGGGTTGCGCTCTCGAAGTATGGCTCTCTTGTATAAGTGTGTCTTCTATAGTTACTCATTCGTAGGAGTCCTAAGCGTTGTTTGCATCCTCGCTGCAGGTCATTTCGCCGTTTTCTGTTTATTTCAATTCCAACTTGATTTTCAAGAAGTTCCAGCTGTGGCGGCTATTCACGAATTTCTTCTTCTTTGGGAGTATCGGTGAGTATTGTCTGCCTGAAGTTCCGCGCAAGTAACTTGTCAGCTCGTTAACCATGCCTGGGGTGTCACTGCAGGCATCGATTTCGTTTTCCACATGTTTTTCCTCTGCCGATATTGTAAACTGCTTGAGGAGACTTCTTTCCGTGGCCGCACCGCTGATTTCTTCTTCATGCTGCTCTTTGGCGGAGTCTTGTTAACAATGGTTGCTCCCTTCGTAAACATCCAGTTTCTCGGTTCTTCACTGACATTTATGATGGTGCGTGGATGTAGTTTGGCCTTCTTTGTTTTAAAGAGGTTTCCGTTTCTTGTTCTGTATTCGAGTATACTCATTTACCTAAGTCATATTGCAGGTGTACGTATGGGGTAGGCGCAACCCTAATATTCAAATGAGCTTTCTTGGGTTGTTCAACTTTACAGCACCTTACCTTCCTTGGGTATGCATTACTACTTGAGAATGAAATCGCTGGTTGGGGTATTTTCCTATTCATTCTCACGTACCATGCACTATGCTTCAATCGTCTTGCAGGTCCTCTTGGGATTTTCTGTTCTTCTGGGAAGTAGCCCTGTGGTAGATCTTCTGGTGAGCACAAGTTTGCTGGCTTTGCACTCGTTTTGTCATGTATGGATTTCTCACCATCTACGGTATCCTTGTTATCTGCTGCCTGTGGCTGGTTTTCAGGGAATGGCGGCAGGACATGTGTATTACTTCTTGGTAGATGTGTATCCAAAGATTTCTGGTCGCCAGCTGTTGAAAACTCCTGGCATTTTGAAGGCGCTCTTTCCACCAGATGATGTGGTGGTTGCTTTTCCTCCAGAACAGGGGGGGTTTGATCAGGCAGCTGGTGTCAATGCGCAGATGTAATATTGTACAGGATATTATTTTTGAACTGGCAGGTGTCAGTTCTTACACCTCGAAAACTCGAATGGTCTTAACTTACCGTAATCTCCCGGCAAGAAGACCCCCCCCGCGTACAAGCCCCTGGGTCCTTTATCCGGACCAGGGGCCTTTTATTATGTCAGTCCTGTAGAGGACCCGTCTTTTGACCCCATTCATTATAAGACCCCCCCTTTCTCTAAACGGTGAGCTGCTTAGCGAGTCACAATGTAAAAACACCAGATTCACGTTGTGGGGCGAATTCGTGGTCAATAGAGTCATGATACCACATCAATCATGAGCTTTTGCCGCCCGTCACGCGAGAAATGCTGTCGTACCTGTCACGATTGGGCATTACAGGAGGTTTGACGCGTGGCAAGGATTGATGTGCGCGAAGCGAGAGTGACGATAGGCTTCCCCGTTTTGAGCCGTACTCGAATCCGCAAAAAATTACTGAAATTCTTCAACTGTGGTCGTTACGATCCATTTTTGCGTGATATATAAATGTCCAGGGGTCTTATGCACTCTATGCCATCAGAGAAGACCCCACAGTCCATTTTGAGCACATTTAGGATAAGACCCCCGGGTCTTCTAACCGGGAGATCACGGTAATATGTTAACACCTGTATCAGCATTGGCTCTATGGTACTTAAACCTACTCCTTAGTCTTTCAATCTTCATTCAAATTTCGGAGAAGACTAGATTCCAAGAAGTCATGAAATCCGTGAGTCCACCAAGGTTGACATAGGACCGTGACACACCATGTGTACCTGGTGTAAGAGATTCGCCATGCAAGCAGGGAGGTGAGAAATTCCGAAGAGTACATCAACTCCAATGGCACTTACTCAGAGAAGGGGAGGGAGATACAGTCTGGCATACCGGTACTTGTTCATGCAATTGTCTCACAACTAAGTGCCAAATGGCTTCAAACAAGCACTGAACATGCGGGTCACTCCCCTTCCCACCTAAGGCAGAAATATCACCACTGTCTGACAGTAGAGAAGGTATAAAAACGTGAACACAAGGGCTGTGAGGCTCACCATTCTCTTGATGCCGAACATGCCATCTGTGAACATGGAAGACGGTGCATGGGACAGAAAAAAACCAAGAGGTGCAATGCAGTTGTTGACATGTGCACCAACAACACTAACATCACAGCATGCTGTCAGAAGTAAACAAAGACTCACTGTGCACATGAGCTGGGTCGTATGCCTCTTCCAAATTTCGGAGGAAGAGGTCATAGACTGGCTCTGCCTTATCCTGTGCCATGGCTGCATGGAAGTTGAGCCGTGTTCCCTTCGACTGACCAAAAAGAGTGAACTGACTAACTGCATTCATGGAAATGAGAGACAGTCACGAGGTATACTATTGAACAATGCATGAAACAAACAACGATACGTACCAACCAGCAGGTCCAAACCTTTTTCAACCACCTGATGAAATGAGGGGGGAGAGGAGAGGGGCAAAAAGGATAAAGTACGGTGCTGATGGACAGAAAACAAAAGGGAACGAGAGATGATTAGAAAGCGAATCACGTGCACTAAAACGTTGGAGAAAGGATGATGACGCAAGCAATATAAGGATGATGCAGTTCATAAATTCCCAAAACAGACGAACCACGAATCATGTGTAGAGGAAAGATAAGATGGACGAGATAGGCAACGTAAAGGAGGGGAGACCAAAAGATAGGATGCGGAAGCGAGGAATGGGTGGAACTTGTATGCAGGCAGACATTGAGTCGAATCGTTGCATCTCCTTCCTCTCCTGGCCACATTGGAATGGAGAGAATCGACTGGCGTCTGCGACACAACGATCGTCAGAAAAAGAAGCAGATAAGAATTGCATGCACGCCATGAACTACAGTCGCAACATTTCTCAATATTACTGCATCCACACCACATTCGCCCGTTCCGACCATAGCATCTAGTTGTGCCCAGTTGTCATTCATGTGAATTGGCAAAGCATCACGTATTATACACAGACATGTGCAACAGACATCGATGGCGCCTACTGCTACGAGCACCCAGCGCGAACCATGCAACATGCGCCATCATGAATCATAATGCACTATCATGAACCATCATGCATCATAATGCACCACCATGCGCCATACATCTGTTGGCTATCATCTTCAGTGTCGCCCTCCTGCAATCCGAGCAGCACCACCAAACCCGGGCCTATTTCCGCCACCATCCGTCCCTCCACCTGCGGAAAACAAAAAAAAAGAGTGGGGGGTAGCCTGGTGTATCTGGTATCGAGACTTTTACGTTTCCTCGAATTGCTTTCAGGCGATGAGGAAGTCGGGGTGGGAAGAGTTAGAGAAGACGGGTGAGGGAAGGAGCGCGAGATGCGGAGAACGAAAACGCATTCCGCCATCAAAGGCTAAAGGTGTTACGCGCGAAAGGCTGAAAGGTATCTCGTAGGACGAAACACGTTGGTAACCAGAGACAGCAACGTGGCAGGAGCGGAGGCGGGTTGATGAAATATTCAGGAAGTGGGATGAGGCGGAAGAAAAGCGCCGAATAACGTGCCTCGATTTGAGCGGAGGTCACGCGATGGAGAACTGCGCGCATATTTACGAGTCGCCGAGGATATCGCTTGACGGACGTTCCAAATATCCGCTACTAGTGCAAGGTCTACGAGCACAATCATCCATGACACAAGCATTTGAACAATCCTCGAGTGTTCGAATAAATTCACTCAAATATGCAGCAGAGGCTTGGGGGGAAGCGTGACGCGTTGTTGGCCATAGTTTGCACTACCATATCATCACCGCATTCAGAGTTACATTATAATGTTCAATTCCATAAAATCAATGTCTGAAGGGCCATTCTAGTGTCAGCATTATGATTAACCCAGTTCAGGGACCCCACTTTAAAAATCCAACTAAATGCTACTCATCTACCGGTAAAAGTCCTATTAAATCAATCAGATACTGAAAATCCACTATTGTACTGTTATTATTCCATGTACTGTATGCATGGGGGGTTCCTCTTGGCCGCTAGGAGCAGAGCTCCTAACGTTACACCCAAGCACCGCGGTGCGGTGGGAACCATCGCTGGCACCCTGTTGAAGGGGAAGAGAGAACACAGAAAGAAGGATACTGCTCGAGGGCAGGTGAAAATTATCCTCAAATCCACTGCCACCCATCCTTGCCCTGCTGCTCCGGTCTCACCCATCCTCTGCAGCGAGGAGCAAGCAAAAGAGTTTTGAGGTGGGACGTCTCTCAAAACCCTGTTTTTGCTCACTGCAGCGACTCTACAGAGAGAGAGAGAGAGAGAGAGAGAGAGAGAGAGAGAGAGAGAGAGAGAGAGAGAGAGAGAGAGAGAGAGAGAGAGAGAGAGAGAGAGAGAGAGAGAGAGAGAGAGAGAGAGAGAGAGAGAGAGAGTTGTCAAACATATATGCTGCATATTGTCTAGGCTGTAGTGGGGTAGCCCATATGGGGTACAACCCAATTAGGGTTTCCTACTTGTACTCCTGCATGCTGTTAGTTCATCATTCCTGTCTCTAGATTCTAACATGGTTTCAGAGCAGTAGGTCCGTAGGACCCTTTTTTTTTTTTTTTCGGGCCCACCTACCGCTACCCCATGCCTGTGCCTGTGACGTGCTGCGCTGCGCGCGCCGTCTGCCTGTAGCCTACTGCCTGCTGCCTACTGTGTTGTCTGCTGCTGCTACCGCGCAGACCTAAGTCGCGCATGCTGCCCGCTGCTGCCTCAAGCGTCGCCCTCGCTGCTCGCGCCGCTCTGCTGCCCCTCACACGCCGTCAGCGCAGCGCACAGCCCCCAGCGAGCCGCGTGCAGCCCCGTCGAGCCGCGCGCAGCCCGGATCTGCCGCGCGCAGCCCCCGCCGAGCCGCGCGCAGCCCCGTCGAGCCGCGCGCAGCCCGTTTTCTGCTGCGCGCAGCCCCGTCGAGCCGCGCGCAGCCCGTTTTCTGCTGCGCGCGGCCCCGCCGAGCCGCGCGCAGCCCGCTGCTGCCGCGCGCGACCCCCCCCGAGCCGCGCGCAGCCCCTGCCAAGCCGCGCACGGCCTGCTGCAGCTGCGCGCAGTCCCTGCCGAGCCGCGCGCGGCCAGCTGCTGCTGCGCGCGGCCTGTTTCTGCCTCCCGCAGCCCGCGCTCGGCCCACAGCAGCCCCGCGCGCTGCCCTGCATAGCCTGCAGCTGCATCGGCCCCGACCTTCCGCTGCTGCGGCCCGCCGCTGCTGCTGCCGAGGCCCCGACCTGCCGCTGATGCGGCCCCCACTCTGCGACTGCCGCTGAAGCGGCCCCCCACCCTGCAGTTGCTGCGGCCCTACTCTACTGTCGCTGTTCCGGCCCCATCGCAGCTGCGGTCGTGCGCCTACTCGGCCCTGCTCGCCCGGCGAGCACCTGCCTTTCCAGCCTTTGGTGAGCACCTGCCTGCCTGCCTGACTGCCTGCCTGCCTGCCTGCCTGCCTGCCTGCTGGCCTGCCTGCCTGCCTGCCTGCCTGCCAGCCTGCCTGCCTGCCTGCCGGCCTGTCTGCCTGTCGGCCTGCCTGCCTGCCTGCCTGCTGGCCTGCCTGCCTGCCTGCCTGCCTGCCAGCCTGCCTGCCTGCCTGCCGGCCTGTCTGCCTGTCGGCCTGCCTGCCTGCCTGCTGGCCTGCCTGCCTGCCTGCCTGTCAGCCTGCCTGCCTGCCTGCCGGCCTGTCTGCCTGTCAGCCTGCCTGCCTGCCTGTCGGCCTGCCTGCCGGCCTGCCTGCCTGTCTGCCGGCCTGCCGCGCCTGCCCTGCCCGAGCTGCTGCTGCTGCTAGCTCTTAGCAAGGGACCAGATGCAGCTCCAGCGACGCTCACGCGAGTCTCTCACGCCCCAGCAGCTTAGTGAGTGGTATACTAGTTGGGGCTGTCGCGGTAGCCGTCGTAGCTGTCGCCCTGGAGCTGGTCAGTTGGGGGCCTCTAGCAGTGGCCAGCTGCAGCTGCAGCGGCGTCCACGCGAGACACTTACGTCCCGGCAGCTCCACGAGTGGTACGCTCAGTGTAGCAGGTCTACGCGTACAGTTCGCTGCCAGTACGTCATTCGCACAGGTGATAGGACTGGTCAGCCTTGCGGGACGCATGGTCACACGCAGTCCCGCTGCTTCGCCCGTCTGAGCGACGACTGGCGTACAGTGTTTGGCGACGAGGCTGAGCTCCCCGACTGGCTGGAGCTGCTTGGACAGAGGGTAGATATCTTTGCTCCTGACTATGATGCTATTCTCACTACCATGTATGCATTGCCTACTAGTGTTGACCGTGCCTGTTACCTGTGCGTCCCGCCTGACCCTGGTATAGCACCTGCTGCTCCCGGTACTGGTGAGGCTGCTGCCCTAGGTGCTCGTGCGTCTCCTCCTCTGGGTGCTGGTGAGGCTGCTGCTCTAGGTGCCGGTACGTCTCCTGCTCCAGGTGCTGGTGAGTCTGCTCTCTCTAGTTCTGCGCCTGCTGCGGCCTTGTACACCTTCACGCTTGACTCAGGTGCTTCCCGCTCCTTCTTTCGCGATTGCACCACACTCACGCCGCTTAGTCGGCCGGTTCCAGTCTCCCTGGCGGACCCCTCTGGGGGTCCAGTCCTTGCCCACTACTCCACGGTTCTGCCGTGTCCGGCCGCCCCGTCTGGCTTGCTGTCAGGTCTTTACCTCCCCTCGTTCTCTACGAACTTGGTGAGTGGAGCTGACCTCCAGGATCAGGGGGTGCACCAGTTCACTCCTGCGAGTCAGCGAGTGACTCACTGTACGTGTGCTCGGACCGGCCGACACCTGGCCACGTTTTCCCGTGCGCCTGGCTCGAGTCTGTACACCCTGACCACTGCGTCCCCTCAGGTAGCTGCGTCTGCGTCTGCGTCCGGTCAGCCGACGGCCCCTTGCGAGTGTCGCGCTTTGTCGCACCAGACCCTCCTGTGGCACCACCGCCTTGGTCACCCCTCGGTGCAGCGCCTTCGTGGCATGCACTCTCGCTTCCTGGTTTCTGGTCTGCCCAGGTCTTTGCCTGCCCTGCCTCCCTCGCTTGCGCCGCCCTGCATTCCTTGCGTCGAGGGGCGGCAGCGCGCCGCTCCTCACTCCTCCTCGTTCCCTCCCACAGAGGCTCCCCTGCAGACTCTCCACCTGGACGTGTGGGGCCCAGCCCGCGTCCAGGGACAGGGCCGCGAGCGGTACTTCCTGCTGGTTGTTGACGACTACACGCGTTACACCACGGTCTTTCCCCTGCGCAGCAAGGGGGAGGTCCCTGCTGTTTTGATCCCTTGGATCCGCGCTGCCCGTCTCCAGCTCCGCGAGCGGTTCGGGACCGAGTTTCCCGTCTTGCGTCTGCACTCTGACAGAGGTGGTGAGTTCTCCTCCGACCTCTTGGCAGCCTTCTGTGCGGAGCACGGCATCACCCAGTCGTTCACGCTTCCGGACTCTCCGCAGCAGAATGGGGTTGCTGAGCGCCGCATTGGCTTAGTCATGGAGGTCGCTCGTACCTCCATGATCCATGCGGCTGCCCCCCATTTTCTGTGGCCGTTTGCGGTCCGGTACGCCGCGCATCAGCTCAACCTCTGGCCCCGTGTCTCCTTGCCGGAGACCTCGCCCACACTGCTGTGGACGGGGAAGGTTGGCGATGCGTCGCGTTTCCGGGTCTGGGTGCTCGTGCCTTTGTCCGCGATACCACCGCGGACAAGCTCTCCGCCCGTGCAGTTCCCTGTGTCTTCCTTGGCTTTGTCCCTGACGCGCCTGGTTGGCAGTTTTACCACCCCACCTCGCGCCGTGTCTTTGCGTCTCAGGACGTCACGTTCGATGAGTCGGTTCCCTTTTACCGTCTCTTCCCCTACCGCACTGCCCCTCTCCCTCCCCCGCCGCTCTTCCTCGCTCCAGGTGCTCCCCAGGTAGACCCCCTCCCCGCTCCCGGTCCTGCTCCTTCAGGTGTGTCTCAGGTAGACCCTCCTCCCTTCCCTGCGCCGGTCGAGGTCACTGGTGACTCAGGTCCTACTGGGGGTGGTCCTGCTCGGGGTGCTACTTCTGGGGGTGCTGAGCCTGGGGGTGCGGAGCTTGAGAGTGTGGAGCCTGGAGGTGCTGAGCCTGCGTGTGAGGGGTCTGGAGGTGCTGGAGCTGGTGGTTCTGGGGCTGCTGAGGGTGCGGGCGCTGGAGGTTCTGGAGCTGCTGGAGGTCCTGGTGCTGGTGGCGCTGGAGCTGCTGAGGGTGCTGGCGCTGAGGGTTCAGAGTCTGCTGTTGCGCGGTCTCCTTGGAGTAGCCGCCTTCGTCCCCGTGTGCCTCTCACCTCGCAGCAGCTGCACGACTGGTACGGTCGCCGTCAGGGTCGCGCTGCTGGAGCCCGGGGCTCTGCTGCTGGAGGTACTTCTGCTGACGTCCCTGGAGCTGGGAGTGGTGCTGGTACTTTGTCTACTGGAGGTGCTGGAGTCGCTGGTCCCGGAGGTGCTCGTACTGGAGGTACTGGAGCTGCTGGGGCTGGGGGTGCTGCGTCTGGAGGTGCTGCTGCTGGAGACACCGAGGCTGGAGACCCTGGGACTGGAGGTGCTGGTTCTGGAGGTGCTGCTGCTGGAGACATTGAGGCTGGAGACCCTGGGACTGGAGGTGCTGGTTCTGGGGGTGCTGCTGCTGGCGGCACTGCGGTTGGAGAACCTGTGCCTGAAGGTGTCGGTTCTGGGGCTGGAGCTTCTGGAGCTGCTGGAGGTGCTGGAGCTGCTGGGGGTACTGGAGCTGCTGGAGCTGCCGGTACTGGTGCAGCTGCGCCGACACGACTGTTCTTTGCTCCGCCGTCTCCGTCGTCTCTGCCGCCGCCTGACTCTGTTCTTCGTCAGGTTCTTACTCTCCCGTCGTCTACTGGTCTTCCGTTACAGCCTGGCTCACCGCTGCCTGCTCCTTCTCCTTACACTGAGCAGACAGGTAGTCTTGCTGAGCGTCGTGAGCCTGCGTCGCGTCCTGTCTCGCCTGTTCGTCCTAGTCGTACCGGTCGTCGTGTTCCTCGTCCGCGTCAGCCGGCTGTCCCCGGCACACGCCTTGTAGCCCTGCGTCGGTCCCCTACTCCGGAGCGTACTCCTCTTCCGTCTCCCCCTGCGTCCTCTTTGCCTGACGTCGCGGACCCTGAGTCTGACCGGTTTCGTGCTGAGCACCCTACTGTCACGCGTCTGCTAGCCACTGTTGTCACTGACCCGTCGTTTGAGTCTGCTGCTGCGTCTGCCCTGGTCGTTGAGCTTGTTGACTTTGCTGCTGCCTGTCGTCTAGACTACGCTGCTAGTCTTGTTGCTGAGTCTGAGTCTGTCTGTCCTCCGTCCGTCGGGGGTGAGTGTGCCCTTGGCACGGACGTCCTTGAGGACAGGCACGAGGACCTTGAGTGTCTTGCAGCCGCTGCGCCTCATCTCGTGGCCATGCTGCTTGCCCCTGAGGGAGACCCGGATGCTATAGACATCCCCACACCGCGCTCCTACGCTGAGGCGATCGCGGGTCCCTACTCCTCTCAGTGGCAGGCAGCCATGGACGCAGAGATGGCATCCTGGAAGTCCACAGGCACTTACGTCGATGAGGTTCCCCCTCCCGGGGCGAACATCGTCGATGGCATGTGGATTTTCAGGGTGAAGCGGCCGCCAGGTTCTCCGCCTGTCTTCAAGGCGCGTTACGTTGCTCGAGGCTTCAGTCAGCGAGAGGGAGTTGACTTCTTCCAGACCTTCTCCCCTACCTCGAAGATGACTACTCTTCGGGTGCTGCTGCACGTTGCCGCTCAGTGTGACTACGAGCTTCACTCTCTTGACTTCAGCACAGCTTTCCTACAGGGCAGCCTGCACGAGGAGATCTGGCTGCGCCGCCCACCTGGCTTTACTGGGTCGTTTCCTCCTGGTACCCAGTGGAGCCTCCGCCGGCCAGTCTACGGTCTCCGCCAGGCACCCCGTGAGTGGCACGACACACTGAGGACTACCCTTGCGGCTCTTGGGTTTGCGCCTTCGACTGCTGACCCTTCACTGTTTCTTCGCACCGACACTTCGCTGCCGCCGTTCTATATCCTCGTGTACGTCGACGACTTGGTCTTTGCTACTGCTGACACTGAGGCCCTCGCCCTGGTGAAGTCCGAGCTGCAGAAGAGACACACGTGCACAGACCTGGGTGAGCTGCGCAGCTACCTTGGCTTGCAGATCACCCGGGACCGAGCACGCCGCACCATCACACTGACTCAGTCACACATGGTGCAGCAGGTCCTTCAGCGCTTCGGCTTCACCTGGTCCTCAGCACAGGCCACTCCTCTGGCTATAGGTCACTCGCTCTCAGCTCTGCCTTCGGATGAGTCCGTAGAGCCGAGTGGTCCTTACCCAGAGCTAGTAGGCTGCCTCATGTACCTGATGACTTGCACTCGTCCTGACCTTGCGTACCCTCTTGGCCTTCTGGCTCGCTACGTGGCTCCTGGTCGGCACCGAAAGGTGCACTGGGATGCTGCGAAGAGGGTACTGCGCTACTTGTGCAGTACATCAGGCATGGGGCTCGTGCTTGGAGGACGGCGAGAGGTGGTCCTCACTGGGCACTCAGACGCTTCTTGGGTTGACGACCAGGCTACGCAGCGGTCGTCACAGGGTTACACTTTCAGCCTTGGCTCTGGTTCTGTTTCTTGGTGTTCTACTCGCTCGTCTTCTGTTCTCAGCTCCAGTTGTGAGGCTGAGATCTACGCCACCGCCATGGCTGCTCAGGAGTTGCGCTGGCTCACCTACCTGCTGACCGACCTGGGAGAGCGGCCTCGTTCTCCTCCAGTGCTGTACGTCGACAACAAGGCTGCCATTGCCTTGTGTGAGGAGCACAGACTGGAGCACAGAACGAAGCACATCGCTCTGCGGTACTTTCTGGCTCGAGAGTTGCAGCAGCGTGGTCAGCTTCGTCTTGCACACGTGGCCACTCGGGCCAACACTGCTGATATATTCACCAAGGCACTTCCGTCTGGTGATCATCAGCGCTTTTGTACTTTGTTAGGCCTTGTGCCTACGTTTCCACTTTTGCTGTAGTCTTTTGTGTGTACTGTGCTCTATATTTATACCTGCATGCTTGCTCTTGCTAGGTATTGATCACTGTACTGCTCTTGTTGCTTATATATATCTCTGCATGTGGACTGGCCTTGCGGCCCTTTGCTTGTGCTCAGAATGTGTGGTGACGTTGAGATCCACCCTGAGCTTGTTTTGCGTCTCTTGACTGGTTGTGTGACCCCTTGTTCTCCCCCACTTTGCCTATGGGGGTGTGTCAAACATATTTGCTGCATATTGTCTAGGCTGTAGTGGGGTAGCCCATATGGGGTACAACCCAATTAGGGTTTCCTACTTGTACTCCTGCATGCTGTTAGTTCATCATTCCTGTCTCTAGATTCTAACAAGAGTTTCACGTCTCTTGAAACTCACAAGAGAATGAGTTTTGAGATGTTTCTCAAAACTCGGGAAGAGGAGAGAGGACGAACGGAATACTGAGTGCACTGCAGGACAGAACAGAACTGCCACCGGCAGCTCACAACTGGATTTGAGGCGCCTCAAACCAGCAAACGAGGTCTTCACACCCCACTCTCACTCTCGATCTAACACTCACTCACTCCTCCCCTCACCCTCACACTGCAGCCTGCTGCAGATCTCCACAGTCCGCTCGCCTCTCACTCTGCTATACCTTTCACTCCGCTTCCTCCCCCACTCTGCTTTCCCAAACTCAGCTTCGCTTGCCCCCCTCTCAACAATCTGCTCCCCCTTATGAGCCATCCCCCCTTATGAGCCATCCCCCCTAATGAGCCATCCCCCCTTATGAGCCATCCCCCCTTATGAGCCATCCCCCCTTATGAGCAATCCCCCCTTATGAGCCATCCCCCCTTATGAGCCATCCCCCCTTATGAGCCATCCCCCCTTATGAGCCATCCCCCCTTATGAGCCACCCCCCCTTACCTGCAACTGAGGTAGGAGCGACTGAGGTAGCAGCTGCGGTCCCATCACCACAAGTGCCACTGCGGGCCTTTCATCTGCTCCCGCTGCTTCTTCCACCGCTGGTCTCCATGAGTGAGGAGAGGTAGGAGCGCTGATAGGCCGTCTCCTCTGCTCCCCTGCTGCAGCGCTCAACACTCCACTCCTCCCTCCTTCCGCTCCTCCCTTCACTCTGCAGCACTCAGTGAGATAGCAGCTGCCATCTCCATGAGTGGGGAGAGAGGTAGGAGCACCGATAGGCCTTTCCCGCCTCCGATCCATCTCCGTTGCACCTCTGCTCATCTGCTTTGTGCCTCCGTCCGCTTCTACACTGCTGCTCCTTCTCCTCTGCTGCTCCTTCTCTCTGCTGCTCTGCCTCGACCAACCGCCTGTGATGAGAGGGGAATGGCACCGATTGCACCCAATGAGGGGAATATATCAGAGCCGATGAGAGCATGGCACCGACTGCACCCAATGCCTAGAAATAACTAAAACATTTGCGAAACGAATAAAGAATCAAACGAACAAAACGGGTAGAAAAGAGGATTACCGTTGGCGGTGCGGTGTGGATGCATCCACCACTGTGCTCTTTTGCTCCCCTGCTCCTTAGTTCCTTGCTCCTTCCCTCCTCCACTCATTTGCTCCTCCACTCCTTCGATCCTCTGGTCCGTCACTCCTTGGTCTCCTCTGCTGCTCCTTCTCCTCTGCCGCTCCTTCTCCTCTGCTGCTCCTTCTCCTCTGCTGCTCTGCCACGACCGACCATCTGTGATGGGAGGGGAATGGTACAGGGCCGTCTGTGAGGAAATGGCATGCAGTTGCCAAGCCAATGCCTAGAAATAACTCAAAGCAGTTGCGAAACAAAACAGGCATCAAACTGATAAAATAGCTAAGGTAAGAAAGAGGATAACCACCGTCGGGAGTGAAGAGCTAGCCACCACCGCGCTCCTTCGCTCCTTTGCTCCTCTGCTGCTCATCTCCTCTACTGCTCCACCTCCGCAGCTCAGCGAAGTCCTGAGAAACGGGAAGAGACAGCCTCAGCACGCATAAGCCCATTGCAGCAGTAGAACCCGACAAGTGACAAGGCTCAGGGAAATGCAAGACGGACACGACCGTCCATCTGAATGAACAAATGAACAGAAGGAGAGTTGATTCAAAAGAACAACAAATCAAAACAAGGAAAGAAGGCACTCACTCACTGGCAGTGGCAGGGAATCTTTGCTCCCTCTACTCTGCTCCTTGCTCTTTCTCCTCTGCCCCTCACTCCCTCTCCTCTGCCCCTCACTCCTTCTCCTCTGCCCCTCGCTCCTTCTCCTCTGCTCCTTGCTCTTTCTCCTCTGCCCCTCACTCCTTCTCCTCTGCCCCTCGCTCCTTCTCCTCTACCCCTCGCTCCTTCGCCTCTTCCTCTCCTTCACTCGTTCGCTTCTTGCTCCCTGCTCCTCTATTCCCCAGCTCCTTCTCTCCTTGCTCCTCTGCTCCTTTGTAACTTGCTCCTTCGCTCCACAGCTACTCCCATCCCCTCTGCGCCATATCCTCTGCGCCATTTCATTTCCTGCGGAACGGAAGGAGAAAAGCCATGAGCTCATGGCACTGGTTCGCTTCACTACTGCTCATAGCACCAATTACACCCCGTGCCAAGCCAACAAGTGATTCAGAATAAATGCAAGGCGAATGCGGCAATGACCATCATTTGAGAGCAGCAAAGGAGATACTCACTGGCAGTGGCAGTGGCGGGGGATTCTCTTTCGCTCCTTAGTCTCCTCAGCTGCTCCTCGCCTTCGCTTCTCCTCTGCTGCTAGATCTTCCGATGCATCTCCTGCAGAATGGGAAGGAAGAAAAAGCCTATGGGCACCCATCGATTGCACCCAGTGACAAGAAGCGATGCCAAGCGAACAAGGCACTGACCATCCATCCAAAAGAACAAGAAATCGAGAGCAGGAACTAGATAATCACTGGCAGTGGCCGTGGCAGAGAATCCTCCTTAGCCTCCTCCCTCCGCTGCTCCTCTGCTCCTCCTCTCCTCCTCTCCTCCTCTCCTCCTCCTCTCCTCCTCCGCTCCTCCTCCTCCTCTCCTCCTCCTCTCCTCCTCTGCCCCTCCTCTCCTCCTCCTCTCCTCCTCTCCTCCTCCGCTCCTCCCCTGCCCCGGCGCTCCTCTGCTCCTGCACTCCTCCTGCTCTGCTAAATCAGACAAACAAAGCAACACTAGTATGTGTGGAAACCGGAAAGCAGTAAACGGAACAAGACTTAACATTAGTACGAGTGGGAAAAACATCTAGCAGAAATGGAACGACACTTACCGATGGGGACTTGAGCCTTCCTGCCTTGGTCCCCTGTCTGAAACACGAAGCAACACACAAATAACATTAGTACGAGTGGGAACATAACTAGTAGAAATAGAACCATACTTACCGACGGGGCCTTGAGCCCCCGTGCCTTGGTCCCCTGTCTAAAACACGAAGCAACACACATATAACATTAGTACGAGTGGGAAAACATCTAGCAGAAATGGAACTATACTTACCGAGGGGGACTTGAGCCTTCGTGCCTTGGTCCCTATCTAAACCACGAAGCAACACACAAAAAACATTAGTACGAGTGTGAAAACAACTAGCAGAAATGGAACCATACTTACTAAGGGGGACTTGAGCCTTCGTGCCTCTGTCCCCTGTCTGAAACACGAACCAACGCACAAATATCATTAGTACGAGTGGGAAAACAACAAGCAGAATGGAAACCATACTTACCGAGGGGGACTTGAGCCTTCGTGCCTTGGTCCTGTCTGAAACACGAAGCAAAATACAAATAACATCAGTACGAGTGGGAAAACAACAAGCAGAAATGGAACCATACTTACCAAGGGGGACTTGAGCCTTTGTGACTTGGTCCCTTGTCTGATAAACGAAGCAACACATAAATAACATTAGTACGAGTGGGAAAACAACAAGCAGAAATGGAACCATGGTTACCGAGGGGGACTTGAGCCTTCGTGCCTTCGTCCCCTGTGTAAAACACGAAGCAACACACAAAAAACGTTAGTACGAGTGGGAAAACGGTCAACGGGAATTGTGTGTTGGCCCCGTCCTCGCTTGGGCGGAGCCGACTTACTGCCGGGTGTGCGGGAAGCGCAGCCGACCAGCTGCAGTGGGCGACGCCGACATAGGCTCTAGGCCACTGCAACGCCGCCATCGACGGGGAGCCGGCGGCCGACGTGACCTTGAGGTCGACGAAGGGAGGGGCGCCGACTTTGGGAGGCGCCGACGTTGACCAGGGAGGGGGCACCTTGGTGGGCGCCGACGCCAAGCAGGAGGGCGTCGGGCACCGAGTTGCAGGGCGCAGTGCTGCAGGGCGCCGAGCTGGACTGGCGCCGGATTCAGGTGATCGGTCTGGCGAGGTCGACCTGGGAGGCGCCGACCAGCTGGGCGCCGGCTTAGGAGGACGCCGGCCTTGCGTTGCAGGCGACCGACGAGCCTGGTCGGCCAGGCATAGTTGTCCGGTTGACCAAGTTACCCGGGCGACGTGTGCGACTGTCGCCGGGGTGGTTTCTGCGAGGCCGACCTCGGAAGTGGTATCCCGAGGTCGACGTGGCTGGTGGGCGCAGTCGCTGGCGTGGTGTCTGCGCTGTGCACGTGACGGGGCTGGGCACGTCAACCAGTCGTGCGCACCTGCGAAGCAGGTGCAACGCTGTCCTGCGGGTGCAACGCTGTGCAGCCGCCTTGCTGCAGCATAAGCACGCCGTAAACTTGCAACGTTGGCGCGCCGCTTCTCTGCGGCGCTGGAGCGGTGCGAGCAGTGCTGCACTAGAACGCAGTCGACCGTGCTGCACTGGAGGTCGACCTGCATGCTTGCTAGCTCTGATGTAGTCTTCCTTACCGATGTTGTTCCTACCATTCTGAACCTCTGCTAGTGGAACTCTTGCCAATTCTCCCCGTGGTTGTGCACACAGAGAACCGTAGCAAACGATTAAGGAACGCAAAGATCCCTCACAACCCCGTGCCTTCCCCGTAGTCTCTACGTTGTTAGAGTCATCTCTACAAAAACAACTAGCAGAAATGGAACCATACTCACCGAGGGATTCTCAAGCCTTCAATGACTTTCTGGCGGCTAAAACAGGAAGACACACAAGGAAAATGCAACATGAGGCATTAGACGAAACAAAAGAATGAAAAACAGACTGCAACTTATAGCGGGTCCCGTGTTGCTGTTGCGTTCTCCTGTTGATCCGTCCTTAGTGTTTCCCCCACGGTTGCTGTACCTAGAAGAGAGAGATGCAAAGTATTGATCCTTTGCCCCCAAGGGAGCAAAGCATGCACCTCACTTGAAGCTGCTCCTTCCTCTTGTCTTGCTTCAGGATTGGCTGTGCAAATTTGCTCACTCTAAGTCATGCATTGAGGAACAAGCAAAAGGATTTTGAGAAGAGACGCCTCTCAAACCCCTGTTTTTGCTTACTACAGCGACTCTACAGTGAGGAGAAAGACAGAGAGTGTGTGTGAGTGTCAAGACGTTGCTTGAACTCACAAGAGAAGAGATGAGGAACAGAACATTGCAGTGCACTGCAGGACACAACAGAACTGCCACCGGCAGATCACGACTGGATTTGAGGCGCCTCAAACCAGCAAGCAAGGTCCTCATACCCCACTCTCACTCTCAATCTAACTCTATCTCTAACTCTCATTCGCTCCTCCCCTCATCCTCACACAGCAGCCTGCTGAAGGTCTCCACACTCTGCTCGCCTCACTCTCGCTCTCCTCACATCCTCTCTATGCTCCTTCCGGTAGGTCCCACCCGTCTCCCTTCGCTGCTGCCTGCTGCTGCTCCCACCACTGCTTCTGCTGCCACCGCTGTTGCTGCTGCCACCGCTGCTGCTACTCCAGGCCTCTCTTCTCCTGCAAGTGCTGCTGCCACCGCTGGTATCATCGTTGGTTCTCTCTTATGCTGCTATTGCTGCTGCCACTGCTGATGCCACTGCTGCTGCCACCACTGCTGTCACTGTTGGTTTTCACTTCAACTGCCACCGGTAGTGTCATTGCGGGCCTCTCTTCTGCTCCCACTGCTGCTGCCACCGCTGCTGTCAATGTTGGTTTTCTGTGCTGCTGCCACCGGTAGTGTCATTGCGGGCCTCTCTTCTCCTGCAACCGCTGCTGCCACCGCTGGTGTTATCGTTGGTTCTCTCTTCTGGTGTTATTTCGGGCCTCTCTTCTGCTCCCACTGTTGCTGCCAATGCTGATGCCAGTCCAGCTGTCTCCTCCCTTCCCTGCTGCACCTGATGCCGATCCAGCTCTCTTCTGCTGCCACTGCTGCTGCCACCGCTGCTGTCACTATTGGTTTTCAATGCTACTGCAACCGGGAGTGACATGGAGGCCTCTCTTCTGCTCCCACTGCTGCTGCCACTGCTGATGCACGTCCAGCTGTCTCCTCCCTTCCTGACTCCAACGTTGGCGATAAGAATAGCTCCAGATCATGTCGTTGACTCGCCTCGCTGCAGCATCAAGTAGCAGCTTGCTGGCGTCCTTTTTGGCACCTCACAAGGTAGCATAAAGTGTCGTCGCAGCACTTCACCAGCACCAGCAGCAGCATACAGCAGCAACAGCTTGCTGGAGTCGACTCTGGGGCCAGCAGCAGGAGCACACAGGAGGAGGTACCAGCAGCACACAGGAGGGATGTACCAGATTTCGCAACCGTTGAATAGCCTTCACAGGAGGGAGGTACTAGCAGCATCTCTTGGGGAGATGGGACGGTTCAGCAGGTCATTTCTTCTCGTGTTGCCATGTCGTTCATGCGCCAGGAAAACGTCAGAGAGAGGGGAGGGTTCAGCAGGTCTTCCCTTCTCGTGCTGCTGTTTTCTCCACGGCTGCTGCTGCCACTGATGCACTGGTCGCTGCTGCTCTCGGCCACCGTACCCACTCTGGCGCCTCTTCTCCTCTGTCATCTCATCTAGTCGTTGCTGCTCTCCTCTAGTCATTGCTTCTCCGTGTTCCAACCACATTAATGCTCTCTGCACAGCGACCAGAGAGTTGCGGCCACGGTTGATCAGAGAAGAGGCTACGTCTCGACAGAGTAAACTGACGGTGGAATGTAATGATTGCAAAGAGGAACCAACAGGAGTGTTTGGACGCAGAGTAAACTGAAAGTACGAATGCACAAAGTAAGAAACTACTTACTCGCTGCTCCTGTCGCTCTGCTCCTGTCGCTGCTGCCGCTGCAGATGTTGCTCCTGTCGCTGCTTCTCCGTTTCCCTAGCAAAGCCTCATCATCCCTGCACAAGGAATCGCGAGTTGCACAGAGGGGATACAATTGACAGAGAGAAGACAGATGACACAATGCAGGAAAACAACGATTAAAAGAAGGCAAATGATATGCGAAAAGGAGGAGTTGGAGGAGGAGGAGGAGGAGGAGGAGGAGGAGGAGGAGGAGGAGGAGGAGGAGGAGGAGGAGGAGGAGGAGGAAGAGGAGGAGGAAGAAGAGGAGGAGGAGGAGGAGGAGGAGGAGGAGGAGGAGGAGGAGGATGAGGAGGAGGAGGAGGAGGAGGAGGAGGAGGAGGAGGAGGAGGAGGAGGAGGAGGAGGAGGAGGAGGAGGAGGAGGAGGAGGAGGAGGGGGAGGGAGGGAGGGCTGTTACTGGCAAGGTTACTACCACAAGCCACAGACGCAGGTGATTTAACACTCACACTTGGTCTTCATCGTTGCAGCGAGGGGCAAAGGCCGGATGAACTTACGCTGGGCCATTTACCCCGAAGTACCCAAGGGTTAACCGGATGCATGCACTTACGATGGGGGCATTCACCCCGAAGTATCGAAGGGTTAACCAGGGAGGGGGGAACACCACAGTAGAATTTTTGGGGAGATTAACGGCATTGGGGAAGGTCTGTGACCCGTGGGGTTCGCCTTAACCAGCAACGACAGAGGAGGAGGAGGAGGAGGAGGAGGAGGAGGAGGAGGAGGAGGAGGAGGAGGAGGAGGAGGAGGAGGAGGAGGAGGAGGAGGAGGAGGAGGAGGATGAGGAGGAGGAGGAGGAGGAGGAGGAGGAGGAGGAGGAGGAGGAGGAGGGGGGGGAGGAGGAGGAGGAGGAGGAGGAGGGGGAGGAGGAGGAGGAGGAGGAGGAGGAGGAGGAGGAGGAGGAGGAGGAGGAGGAGGAGGAGGAGGCGGATGTCAACGGGAGTTGGGTTTGGCCCCGTCCTCGCTTGGGCGGAGCCGACTTCGTGGTCGGGTGTGCGGGGGTTGCAGCCGACCTGCAGCAGTGGGCGAGCTGGTCGGCGGGGCTAGTCGACCTGCACGGGGGATACTGCGAGGGCGCCGACTTCCAAGGGCGCCGAGTTAGGGATGGTCGACCTGGCGAGGCCGACCGGGCTGGGCACCGACTTGGGGTGGCCGTCGACTTGGCGAAGTCGGCGGCCCGGTCCTGAAGTGGTCGACGACGGAACGCCGAACAGGGAGGACGCCGACTTGCCGGCACCGACCTGGTTGCTCGGTTGACCGGGTTACTCAGGTGACGGAGCTTCTGCAGAGGTGTGCGATGGTCGTCGGGGTGGCTTCTGCAAAGCCGACCTCGGAAGTGGTATCCCGAGGTCGACATGGCTGGTGGGCGCAGTCGCTGGCGTGTCCTCGGCCTGGGCGTCTGCGCTGTGCACGTGATGAGGCATGGTGCACCAACCAGCTGCGCGCACCTGCGAAGTAGATGCACCGTTGTCGTGTGGGGTGCAACGTTGTGCTGCTGACTTGCTGCAGCGTTGGCGCACCGCAGACCTGCAATGTTGGCGAGCCGCTGCTCTGCAGCGCTGGAGCGATGTGAGCCCTGCTATGTTGGATCGCGGTCGACCATGCTGCGCTGGAAGTCGACCAGCATGCTTGCTAGCTCTGATGTACTCAGTGTTGCCAATGTTGGTGCTATCATTCTGGTCCATTCTTGTGAATCTTTGCTAGTGAAACTCTTTCAAAATTCCCCCTGTGAGCCAGCAAGTAGTGAGAGCACAAGCAAACGACTAAGGAACGAACGCTACGATCACCCTCACACTCGTGCCTAGCCCGTAGTCTAGCTCCCGTTGATAGAGTTATCTCCGTAGAGGCGGCGGAGGAGGAGGAGGAGGAGGAGGAGGAGGAGGAGGAGGAGGAGGAGGAGGAGGAGGAGGAGGAGGAGGAGGAGGAGGAGGAGGAGGAGGAGGAGGACGAGGAGGACGAGGAGGACGAGGAGGATAGGCAGAGAGGATGCAAAGATGGGGTGGGGACGATGCATGAAAAGGGGGTTAGGGAGAGGGAACTTAGCTGGTTGTTGGTTGGCGTTGGCATTGCTCCATGCTCTGTCATCCTCTCTTGCTCGCACCTCTCCCCTGATGCATCCGCGCCTCCCCCCTGATGCATCCGCGCCTCCCCCCTGATGCATCTGCGCCTTCCCCCTGATGCATCCACGCCTCACCCTGATGCATCCGCGCCTCTCCTCTAATGCATCTCTTTTCCGCTTTGTGTGCATGAGCCTCTGCCGCTTCTGCACGAACGAAGAAAGTAGGAGTGAGATGAGATGGAACAGCGAGATGAGATGGATCGAAAGCAATTGCAGATGGGGTAAACTAGCGTAGAGACCAGCGAGACTAGTAGACCAGCAAGACGAGAAAAAAAAAAAATGATTGCAGAATTGAGACAGGCTTTGGAAAACAAGCGAGACAGAAAACGGGAACTCACTGCAAACGGAAAACATTTACACCAGCCATCAAATGGGAGTGCGTCAACGAACTTCTTCGTTCCCCGAGTTTCTAGCGATAGTAAGAACTCTCATGATGCTCCAGACGGGGCACTCTTTTGCACGCACGGAGACAGTAGGAACACGATGCGAAAATGATTAGACTAGTGTCAGAATCCCAGTCACTAACCACTGGGATAAAAGGGCTTGTTTGTGTAGCGGGTGAGTGCGCCCATAACCCCCCAGGCCGCCATGCCTGTAACCCTTCCCTAGGATCAATCGGGGATCTCCAGTGGACCTCTGACACCCCCCCGCACTGGGATGCCCGAGGTGCACACACCGGGATTCGAACCCGAGACCTTCGCTCTGATACCATGTCAGAATCCCAGCCACTAACCACTGGGATAAAAGGGCTTGTTTGTGTAGCGGGTGAGTGCGCCCATAACCCCCCAGGCCAACGTGCCTGTAACCCTTCCCTAGGATCATCGGGGATCACCAGTGGACCTCTGACAACTAGGACCGAACGCAACTGCAAATTGACTGCGAAATAAACGAGCGTTGTAGATTGAACGAGCACGGCGGCGGCTCCTTGAAAGAGTGAGAAACGCCATGACATGATACGAAAACGGGAAACGCCATGATATGAAACGAGTAGACCAGCCACAATCCGTCACGAGAGCAAATGCAGAAACGGGAAACGCTAATTCACGCATTCAATGGACGAGACCGTCGGTGTTCTGCTTCCCCTTTCGCCGTCCTCCGTCTCGCGAGTTTCTCCTCCGTCACAAGATCCTCCATACGTTGTCTATCATCGTCGTAAGCGTCGCCATCGTCAGATTCGGGCATCTACGCACCTTTTTTAACGTCGCAAGCGCCGTCGTCGGTAGTAGCAGTAGCAGTAGTTGTTGTTGTGGCCTTGGTGCTCGTCGCAACGTCGCACGTGTCGACGACTTCAGGAGCTCCTCGCTGGATTTATGAACATCCTCAGTCGTTAAGTCGCGAAGAACATCCTCAGCAGTAAAGTCGCGAAGAACATCCTCAGCAGTAGTAGACGTCGTGAAGAACATCCTCAACAGTAACGTCTTGAAAAATACGCTTAGCAGTAACGTTGCGAAGAATATCGTCAAAGATAGCGCCGCGAAGAATACGCTCACCAGTAACGTCGCGAAGAACATTCTCAGCAATAATGTCGCGTCAAATTCGGATGTCGAGGGGAGCTCCTCCAGTTTCGTAAACCTCGTGAGTAATGCAAGCTCCTCCTCCTAGCGTCGCACAAGGCGATTAGTCTTATAGGAAAGTGCTGATGTACGTCCCTAATACTGAAGGTTGCAATAATAGTTGTGATCGTAGCAACTTGTGGTTGTCTGAGCTTCACGCCGCGACCCGCGATCATGACACCGAAAACGAATCAAATCTCAGATCTTTCTCACTAGGCTCTATGATACTTTGATCATCCTCTTTAAAAATCTTAATATTAACGCGCTTCTAAAATAGGTCACATCACGAGAATTACCTCCACGGTACAATATTGTGAGGAAGCCATGGTTACGTACGGATCAATCGAGTTAGAGAAACTGACGAGATTTATCTCTGAGACAAAGCCTGCATGGTGAATGCCTGAGAGGGGTTGGCTAGAGATGGGCTGATGAACGAGGATTTGGGCAAGAACAAGGTTCGGCACGGTGATGCAGGTTTTTGCGAGGTTAATAACGGCCAAAAATAGTAAGAGAGGTGATTTAGGGTGACCGTAAGAGAAAGGAGAAAGGGAAGCAACTGAGCGGCAAGTCGAGTCACCAAGCGAAAGGAGGAGGTTTCCCTTCCTTTCTTCGTGGCAAGCCTGTCAACGGGAGTTGTTGTTGGCCCCGTCCTCGCTTGGGCGGAGCCGACTTCGTGGTCGGATGTGCGGGATGTGCAGCCGAGCTGCTACAGTGGGCGACGCCGACTTGGCGGGCTGGTTGACCGGGGTGGTCGACCTGCACGAGGCCACTGCGTAGCCGCCGGCGACGGGAGGCCGGTGGACGTGGTCGACGAATAAAGGTGCCGACGTCGACGATGATGGGAGGCCGGGCTGGAAGGCGCCGAGGTGCAGGTGGTCGACCTGGGGAGGTCGACTAAGGAGGCGTCAACTTCCCGGCGCCGACTTTGGGGACGCCGAATTGGTGTACCCGGCGACCGGAATGTGGTCGACGAGCGCGAGGAGAAGCTGCTGGTCGGCGGGGTTGCCCGGTCGACCAAGTTGCCCGGGCGACGTGTGCGATTGTCGTCGGGGCGGTTTCTGCGAAGCGGACCGCAGAGGTGGTATCCCGAGGTCGACATGGCTTGTGGGCGCAATCGCTGGCGTGGTGTCTGCGCTGTGCGCGTGACGGGGCTGGGCACGCCAACCAGCCGCGCGCACCTGCGAAGCAGGTGCACTGTTGTCCTGCGGATGCAACGCTGTGCAGCCGACTTACTGCAGCGTTGGCACACCGCGGACTTGCAACGTTGGCAAGCCGCTGCTCTGCAGCGCTAGAGCGGTGCGAGCAGTGATGCACTGGAACGCGGTCGACCGTGCTGCGCTGAAGGTCGACTTGCATGTTTGCTAGCTCTAATGTGGTCTCTTCTTGCCAATGTTGTTGCAACCATTGTTGTGAACTTTTGCTAGTGGAACTCTTGCCAAATATTCTTGTGAATGTGCGAGCAGTGAACACACGAGCAAATGACTAAGGGAACGAACGCTACGATCACTCCTACCCCGTGCCTTGCCCGTAGTCTAAGCTCCCATTGATAGAGTTACCTCCACAAAGCCCGGGGCGAGAAGCCGCTACAAAGTCCGCTGATGAGTTGCGCTGCTTTGATCGCAGAAAGTCCGCCAACTATGTGTCAAACATTATATATGTTGGGTTTGTTAGGCTACAGTGGGTTAGCCTATATGGGGTACACAATTCTAGGGTTTGCTATTTGTACTGATTTCTCTGTTAGTTCAACCATTCCAGTCCGTTCATTCTGACATGGTATCAGAGCAGGTCCTTCGCTAGGACCTAACTTCTCTTCGGGCCCACCACTACCTACTACCTACTAGCGCCCTCGTGCGCCCTACTATCGGAGTGCGCTTTAGCGCCTCCCCCCCTTAGCGCCCTCGAGCGCTTTCTTTTTTTTTTTTCCCGGCCCCGCTGGCCCCGTCGATCGCGCCCCGCTTAGAGGCCCCGCGGCCCCGTCGCACCTCGCCTAGTGGCCCCGCGGCCCCGTCGAACTCACGCGCGCCCCGCTTACGGCCCCGTCGACCCCGCGCGCACCCCGTGTAGAGGCCCCGCGGCCCCGTCGTCCGCCACCACACGGAGGCCCCGTCGACCCGCGCGCGCCCCGCTTACGGCCCCGTCGACCCTGCGCGCGAGAGCCCCGTCTAGAGGCCCCGCGGCCCCGTCGCCCGCCACCACACGGCCCCTCGACCCCGCTGCGCCCCGCTTAGCGGCCCCACGGCCCCGTCGAGCCCCGCTTAGAGGCCCCGCGGCCCCGTCGCCCGCCACCACACGGCCCCTCGACCCCGCTGCGCCCCGCTTAGCGGCCCCACGGCCCCGTCGAGCCCCGCTTAGAGGCCCCCGCGACCCCGTCCCGCCCCTCTTAGCGGCTCCGCGCAGCCGCACCGGCCGAACCGAGCCGCGCCGCCCTACCTGAACCGAGCCGCGCCGCCCGACCGAGCCGCGTCGACCGTTCTAGCAGCCCTGTTGATCCTACTGCTACTCCTACTGCTCCTACTGCTACTGTCACTATGGCTAGTCCGCCAGTTCTAGCTTTCGATGCCGAGGGCCGTCCAGTGAAGTTCGAAACCTGGCTCGATGACCTGCACCTGTTCCTACAGCTCACTGCCAAGGAAGATATCTCACTGTACGACCACGCCCTAGGCCATGCCACTGCCCCTGACTCGACTGCTGACAGCACTCTGCGTTCCCAGTGGCAGACCCGTGATGCGCACGCTCGCTTTGCTATTCGCAACTCCCTGCCGCTAGACGAGCGCGAGCACTTCGGCCAGTGCAAGACTGCTAAGGACCTCTACACCGCTGTAGTTGCCCGCTACTCCTCGCCAGCTTCTGCCACGCTAGGCCGCCTCACTCTCCCCTACCTGTTCCCTGACCTAGCCTCCTTTCACACTGTCGCAGACCTCATCACCCACCTTAAGACTAGTGAGGCCCGCTTTCGCGCTGCTATGCCTGCCGAGTTTCTCACTAGCAACCCCCCCCCGCTCTGGATCACTCTCTACCACATCGTCACCCGGCTCCCTGACTCTCTGCGCGCAGTCAGGGACCACTTCCTCTCTCGCTCCCCCACTGAGCTCACTGTTGCCCTCCTCGAGAAGGAACTGCTTGCAGCTGAGGCGAGCATCGTCGCTGTAGGCACCTCTCGTGGCGACCCCCGCACCCCGTTCTTTGAGGGGTGTTCCCCTTCCCCCCTCCTCCCCTCTGTCGCCTCTGCTGCTGCTGTCGACCTTCTTGGTGCTGAGAAGGTCGGGACCGCGTCTGCTTCGAGTGGGCGCCGCAGGAACAAGGGGGGCAGGGGTGGGGGTGGCGGCGGAGGAGGTGGGGGTGGAGGCGGTGGGAGTGGAGGCGCGGCTGGGGAGACTAGTGGCGGCAGTGGGGGAGGAGACAGCAGCGGTGGGAGTGGTGGTGGAGGCGGCAGCGGAGGCGGAGGTGGTCGTGGCGGCGGCA